ATGGAACCACCAAATTTTGGCAGACTCGTCTCAGACACAAATGCATCAAACACCAAGAAATCTTCGGATTTTGAAACTTACAAAGATTGATTATGGTTTTGCACTAATTTTACAAAGCAAATGAGCGTTTACCGCTTCAGATTAGCAACTTTCGAAAATTCCGGGTACAGCCTGGGGCGCCTTGGAAAACCTGAATTATGATGATTTTATCTCGAAAACTTGATGAATCGGAAAAGAAAACAAATGCTAAAAAGAGGAGAGAAAGCTGCGTCGAATGATACCCGAGTTGCTTGCCTTTTGCTGTTCTGTGAGGTTTGAGTTGACCAAATATGGAATTTGATGGCATTTTAAAAGTGATTCGAAACTCTAAGAAGCAAGCTAAGGAAAAGAAAAAAATAGAAAAAAATTACTTTGTGCCCTATAGAGTTTGCTCTATCTACCTACCACATGTACTTTTTCGGAGATTAGGTACAAAAATTTAGAAAAATAGCCGAACATGACCATGGCAAAAAGCATGAGTCGCAGTTTTGGTAATTTTTCGAGAGCTCATTGAACATTATGCAGCGAGATTAGAACCATTAGAAAGAGGATAAAATAATATCTGCTCCAAGACGAAGGCGGTCGCCCAAATAGGTTGAAAACATGGAAGGCGGCGGCGCGCGGGCAATTGTCAACCACAGGGCGCGCGCACGCTCGCTCAGCGGTCATCCACGCGAGCGTGCGCGCGACCCGTGGTTGACAATTGCCCGCGCGCCGCGTGCGCGTCAGCCTTGCATGCTCTCAACCTATTTGGGCGACCGCCTTCGTCATGGAGGAGATATTACTGCATCGAATGCCCTTAAGATCTCTTGAAAATGTTGATTCCACGAATAGTGGCGTTCATTCGAAAAAAAGCGACATTACTTTCGGAACGACCTAATATAAAGAACATGATCTGCTTTTTCAAAAAGAAATGCAAGCAAATTGGGTGAGAAATTCAAAAGTTATGAATTTTTGCAAATGATGCGACAGAACTAACTTTTGTTACCTAACATTAATTGGCTTAACTTATTATTTGTTTATTTGATGATTTATACGTATCAAAGGAAGAAAGATTTAATCGCCGTCCTAAGGGTGGTGCCGGTTAAATTCTGCCCTCACATCTTCTTCACTGTCCGCATCATAGTTTCAGAGAACTAATAAATTTTCCCAGATTTGGATAAAAAGATTGACTTTCTGCAAACACAGCCAGTCATACTCTCTCGAAATTAATACTTGACTGCAAGTTTTTCGAGCATAGTATGATTATGAAGTTGCTTATGATGAATTATCGAAAAGTAGGAAGCGTGCGCCTACATTAAGCTTATATGATTGCAAATCAGAAGAAGGAATTGGATGCTGCACAAAAATTCCAAACATCTAGACATGTACGACAATTGTGTAGCAACTGCTTGTGTCTTCGCTAGTGGAGCATGGAGCTAAGGATTGTTAAACCTAGAACTCTCCGTGCTGCATGTCGAAATCAAAGACTTGTTGTAAAAAAATCTAGAAGGTTTCTTGTGAAGCCTAGCAAATTGCGGATATTTGACTGAACAAAAAGTTGAACGAAAAAATGGGGATGCAAGCGAACGGACAAATAATCTTTGAAAAGTGGTCTTGGGAGATAAAAATGTTGCGAGAGTCTTGCTTATTTGTAGTTGTCATATGATATTGTGTCAGTGCCAGGTTTGTACGGTGGAATTCTTTATTGGCCTTACGTTTCGACAAAATCGTCTTCGTTGGAGGCCTAAAAGTAGATTGCAGTGTTATCTTTGGGACCACCAAACGCCTCCTCGCACCGAGTCTAGAACACGCTCCGCACTCAACGTACAGGGGCATGTTGATGAGAAGACGAACCCTTTATCCACCGTGGTGTTAGTGAGAGTCAGTAGAGTCAGTACTTAGTCGCACCGAAGAGACAGACGGCACTGAGTGCTGCCCTATGATCGGCACTTATATATGTGCAGACTATCGCTCACAGATCGTTAAGATAGGCAAAAGTTTGGCTGTTATTAATACGCATTTATTTTTATTGTTCATGCTAGGATTTCGAAGGGAAATCCACGCTGCCTCAACGGTTTTCCGAAAAAAAAGGAAAAAAGAAAAAAAGGAAAACCGTTGAGGCAGCGCGGATTTCCCTTCGAAATCCTAGCATGAACAATAAAAATGAATGCGTATTAATAACAGCCGAACTCTTGCCTATCTTAACGATTTGTGAGCATTAGTCTGCACATATATAAGTGCCGATCATAGGACAGCACTCAGTGTCGTCTGTCTCTTCGGTGCGACTAAGTACTGACTCTAATGACTCTCACTAACACCACGGTGGATAAAGGTTCGTCTTCTCATCAACATGCCCCTGTACGTTGAGTGCGGAGCGTGTTCTAGACTCGGTGCGAGGAGGCGTTTGGTGGTCCCAAAGATAACACTGCAATCTACTTTTAGGCCTCCAACGAAGACGATTTTGTCGAAACGTAAGGCCAATAAAGAATTCCACCGTACAAACCTGGCACTGGCACAATATCATATGACAACTACTAACATCATTTCGAATGCCCAGGTTCAGAGAAGAGAGAACATTTAACTTACTGCTTATTTGTAATTAATTGGTAGTTATATTAATGTCCTGAACTTTCCGGCTCCATTGAAATACTTTAGAAATATGTTTTCTCGGAGGTACGTCCTGAAAATCAATATAATGTTAGAATTGCGTTTTATTGCAAACTAAACGTTAGACAGACACACTTCTATTCTTCGTCACCCCCAGTTAGTGCCTTTTCTACACTACAGTAATTCACGTGACGGTCTCATGGGTCCTATCCAATCATGAAATTCAAATGCACTACCTTTTCACACTTTTCCATGTATCAATCGCCTTAGTAAAAGTTAATTTTTTCTACTCCTCTTTCCCCTGATCTTGTTCGTTTAGCCTTTCGTAAAATTTTAACTAGTGCCTTGTGCTTTTTAGGAGGAGGATTGTGCACAAACAAAATTCTCTTTTTCAACAAGCGGCTCTAAAAAAGCTGACTGTTACATTTTTAACGACTTTTCGAAATTCTCCCTACCCGTAAAATATATGAAACGGACCACATTACTATAGATGTGAAAGCTATTATAATACAGCTCTATCATAAGAGAGTACTCGTCTCTGAGATGCGACATGAGAACACTAAAAGCAAGAAATTTTGCAGAACGCGCTCCATAAATTCAGTGCTGTAATCGCCTGCTCCATTCACATTTTCTGCCCATATTGCGGCGGTCAACGTTCTCATTCTCCAGTGCCAGTGCCATTAAATTTTTGATATTCTACATTACCTTACCGGCACATGTATCAAGCCAAATATCGTTTTGAATGCATGACTTATCAGGAAATTTTGAGTGTATTGAATCGTCAGCTCTTCGAGTTCGCATTATGCATTCATATGATAGCTGTGGAGTTCTTCTGCGCTAGAAGAACTCTCTTCCCACCTCACTGATTTCGCTTATACAAAACATGAAGGTAATAGGTAGAAGATCCTTTTTTGTAGATTTTGATTTTACACCATCTTGAGCAATAATCTTCTCCATAAAGTAATACTGGATCATTCACAGCTCGATTTCATAAATAGAGAGGTCCAGCTTGAGAAAATCGTTGAGTTATGGTGGAAGTACTGCGGATAGCAATTTTCGAAACTTTCAAAAAAAAGGTTTGGGAGCAAATTCGAAAGGATGACATGATTATTCAGGCCAAAGTAAACTCTAAGGAGGCTACCTGAACTCTAGCAGAACCAGATTTTCGCAGTGGTGTGAACGCAATTTTCCAGACAATGAACAGATATTGTATGGCCCTATTACTTGCATAACCTCAACCTCTGCCGATTCTCTCTGGGAAAAAAGCCTGCTCTCTAAAGTCATAAAACTAAATACGTCGGTGGAGACCTGAGAGAGACTGAAAAGAAACCTTAAATCTCGAACATTGCACTCATCTCAAAAACTTCAGAAGAGACTAACTCGTGAAAAAACTAAAGGTTGGTTTTCAGCGGTAATTTTGAAGTCCTTGCAGATTTTTTTTGTTTAACAGATGAATTTGAGTGCTTAAACTTTATCTATTCCAAGCAATGTTTTTGGCGTCACTCTCCAAGTAGACCCCCTGAATATGTTACAGGAAGATCATGCTGAAGTTTCAGTACATGCGCTCATGTCTCTTAGCACTGAGGCTGAGGCAGTTTATTGCGGTCAAATGCAACATTTATACTCTTATATAGTGAATTTATAACTTCATAAAACTACCCAGTGCCTGCCCTAGGGCTCTATAGCTATAGATTTTGTGACAAGGATAGAAATTTTGTACGAAATAAGATGAGACTTTCATTTTAAGAGATAATTCTGCAATGCTTTGAAAAGTTTTTGTGTGAATATATAAATGATTTAATTAGTTGAGAAACAAAAAATCTGCTTGCGTAGCTGTAACTCATGCGTGCTACTTTCTAAATTTCGCGACGAGCTACCTCTTTCCCCTTCCTCTTTTTGGATTTTTTACTACCGCCTTCTTTTCGATCTAACAAAGTATAGGAACGTCTGCCTATAAAAACTCCTTCAGAAAATAAATTCCTCAAAGTGGAGGTAACTGGCAGCCGCTCTCTTTGGTTTCTCATTCTGCCTGAACAGTCTGAAAAGTTCAGCATAGCGCGCCTTCCTAACAATAAGTTCCTGCCCCTTTGATCGTTCGCACCGCGAACAGGTTCACTGTTCACTTAGCCAGCTTTGCAAATAGCCAAATTGCGCATATCCGCGAATCTTTATCAGCTATATCCGCGACGAAAATCGCGCTGAAGCGGAGACTGGCTGCGAAATTTCAGGCACAAATGTTCGGGATCGCAGCTGGATTGCGATTGTCTGACCTCTATATGGGCGGAAAAACTAGCGAACTGGATAAAAAGGATCGCTGGCTTTGATAGGCGCGCTATCATCTGCGAATCACCAGTTTTGGAGCGTGGATAACGATGTTGCTGCGAATATTCACCTACACAGTTTTGGCATTCCTCGTTAGCTTCACTTCCGCCAGGCAAAGTGGGTACTTGTAGCAGATTATCCTGTAATTTACTCATGTCATAGCTCTTAGATCATTTTGGCAACCCTTGCTATTTGTGTAAATGCTTCGTCTACTACTCTGATCGCGATGTAGCTGTGCCTATAAAACCATACGCCATGGCTGCTGATGGTTACGACACCACTGAAGACCGCTGCCTAGCCACTTGCAGAAGAGACGAGGTGAGTAAACAATAATATAAATTTTATTTTTGAAGCATAGTTACCACGATATATAAGGATCAGAATTTCTAAACTTCCCATGGTTTCAAGTCATCCTATCGCGTGCAGTAAATGATAAAATGCCCATCGCCAATTAAAAAAATCTCTTAAATCTTGACGAATGACGTAGGCCAGAATCTAGGATTCAGAATACATTCCTTTTACCACACACCATTTTTTGAAAACTTTTCTCAAGTCGTGCACTCGTCTTCTACAAATTTGTATTTGCTTTGAGCCAAATATGATTATCTTATGAATTACAATGGAATTTTGATTATTTTTTGGCACTACATCTTTATGTACGGTAATCGTTGGGGAGATTCCATCAGATGAAAGTCATGGAAGTATGAACAACTTTCCCCGAGTCATCTGTAAATCAATAAGTGAGTTTGCAGACTATGCGCGGCAAACGACGATATCCTTACCAGTAACTCCACAACAAACTTCTTCTAGCGTTATAAACTCATATAGAAGTGTACTAGTGAGAAGTGTCTTAACTACGTAAAGATCTAAAAATCTAAGATACAAACAGGGAATCGATGAGAAATCACTGAAAATAATTATTTCTGACCTTACAACTCGTCACGTAGCGCGCATGGTGTGCAATACGCATATGAAGTCACAAATGACTCGACGGTAGCTAAAAGTACCGTAAGTCGGTGTCAACAATTAATCTTTTATTTTTTATTCCTTTTTTGCTCATTGGTGAATGGTGACAATATTTCAGAAATGTCATGCCGCTGTCTATGGAATGGTTGGTGGACGAAAAGTGTTCTCTTGCGAGTTCTATGAAAAAATCGACGCAAGGAGATCCCCTGTCTACTCACCGTATGTTAACATCTACATCAAAAGAGCATCTTGCGCATTAACGGGTAAGTTCGCTCATGAAAGATTTTTTCACAAAATTACATCACGCTTTTTTAGACGACCACTTATTATCTGTGGATATGATTGAAGCAGATGATTCATCGTTGAAGCGACGAACAAAGCACGAAAGAAATGCCTACAAATACAATCCTTTTACTGGTTAAAAAACTGATAATGATCTCTATTAAAAACTGAGCAGAGCTTCTAATAAAATTATACTTCATTGTTTGAAAACGAAATAACTTCGACGAGGAACTTCATTCTTTGCGCTCCACGACGATCGTTCCAATTTCCTTTCTAATGCGTGGTGAACTGCAAGAGAAAACTCTTTCCCATCACCATACCTGGAAAACTGGTCAAAGCTTTTTTTATATAGCACGTGCTAGATTGAAAGTCTTGCAGTTATAAAATACACAGTTGAGAACAACAAAAAATAAAAATGGACATGCTTCATCACGCTTATCAGCACTCCCAATCTTTCCCATTTCCACAAGTGAGAATCATTTTATACCAATGGCATTAGAATTTGGTACGCGTCATGATCTCACATGGAAAAAAGCCATGGATGGCGTTCTGAAGCAGATATGCGGTACGACTGTTTATCATAAGAATCTCGCGATCGAGTGAAACCAGATGAAATCGAGCATTATCTTTTTTTTAGACTTATCGATGTTGCAGCTTTTGGAAAGAAATCTTGAGATAGACAGAGTATAGAGTATAGTATAGTATAGACAATTCGTAGCACGCAAAAACAGGGCGCAACCGCGGACTCCGCCGCGTCTTTCGGATTGGAAGCACCCTCATTTCTCTAAGGCCTCGGACAAAGTTCACGCGATTTGATCGTCGCGATTCAATCGCGACAAGACAGCTGTTACAAGTTCATTGAATGCCATTCAGCTTGCATTTCGGTTGTAATACTTTTCCAACCCGAAATTTTAGAATTTAAAGTGGAAGTGAATGGAAATCACGGCGATTGAATCGCGACGATCAAATCGCGTGAACTCTGTCCGAGGCCTAACTGTTTAATGTCTCTCCCAAGCACAAACATTCCTGATCGTACGCAACGGCGCCAAGTTTCTGCGTGCGACGAAGAGTCTATACCTTTCCAAGAGTTTTGGCTTTGCTATGGGCAATTGTTACAGGAGACCCTAGCAAGTTTCAACGATCTGCTTTAGGCAAGGGACATACCTCACGCGATTTCAGTCGCCACGCGATCGGGCAATTTGCCAGATGTTTTCAAATTCAATACTGGTAGACCCCAAATGTACAGCATGTATAACTTTCGCAGGTTGGTAAAATGCCCCATCTTCCGTACATTCGGAAACCCCGTACGATGAGTTATGAACGTTTGGAGTATTGCCAAATCGCGTCGCGACTGGAATCGCGTGAGGTATGTCCTAGGCCTTACATCCGTAGTGTTTTCGATTTACTGTAGAGCCCAAGGCCGAGCGATACCTCTCGCGATTGTCGAGACGCGATTTGACAATACCCCAAAACTCATCGTAAGCGCATTCTGAGTCAAAAGATGGTATTTTAACAACCTGAAAGAGTTATACCTATGCATATGCAGTCTGCAAGTGTTGCATCTCACGCGATGTCCGACTGAAACGCGTGAAGTATGCCCAAGTAAGGTAGCTCAACGTATACGTGAGTTGTATATAGCCAAATTCGCTATACTCTGAAGCTTTGATGATGGCACCGTCACTGTTAACCTATAATTGGGCCTTGCGAACCCTATTTCTACTTGCATGTTCGGGCCAACCCTCTTAATTTGGAGAAAATATGACTCACTTATATGCAAATCAAGTCGATGATCTTTAGGCATGTAAGTAGCTGCGAAAATGCACATGAAACTACATACTTTAAAGCTCACCTTACCTTCGTTAGAGAATACTTCAAGGCATCAAAATCAAGCATGCGCGTAAGTAGCATTAGGCAACCTGGCAGCAAAGGGTGACTAGCCACTTGCTAATGATATTTAATACCTCAAAAAAAAGGAATGGGGACGTTTGATGTAATGGTATGAGGTGCCGCTGACCAGGTGGGTCCAAAGTTCGATTCTGCTGCTGGAAAACCAAGCCCTCTACCCTCCGCAGAAGGTAAGTTGGTACCAGAGTATTCTGGAAGGATAAAAGCACTGACTTGGTAACCTGACTCCCGCAAGTTACTGTGAAAGGCTCGCATGCATTTTCTAGCCTCTCCGAAGCCAAGGGTATTGAAGACACTAAATCCTTCATTCTTCATCCTTTGAGCAGCAAAATCTCGGTTATCCTGTTGGCACATGATTCAGAAGTTGGCATCGCACATGTAGGTAGAAACACAAAACAACTGATTCTGCATCTCCACCGAGCTGGGCGTATTCGGATCAAGTCAAGGAGGATCGAAGCAGAGATTGACTCGTCAAGAAGTTTTTGCATCGCCTACGATTGTCAAACTGAGTCTCAGCGCTCTCTGTCACATGCTAAGATAAGGATCCCTTAAAACGTTCGTCTTTTTTGCCATAGCGTCGGAATCTGTCACAAGAGTGATAAATTGCTGCAATTCGGCTTATGGTCCGAGTGACCATACGTAAACTACATCTTCTTTTCTGCAATCGTATACTTATACTCTAGCCTCAACCGCATTGTGGAGACTGCATAAATAAAGCCTCATATTGAATGCAATTGAGGTCTGGCAAAAGTGAAAAATAGCGGCAGAACCAACTTTTGGAATTGGAAAATTGTGCTTGTAAGTTCCGCAGAATGAGTACTGAGTTCTTTGGAAGTCTACCCAACTTATGAATTTACGCATTTTATTCGCTGAGGAATTTGCTTGCATTTCTCAGCGAGCAAAATAGCATTGTAAATCTTATAAGCGAATTGAAGTGTGAGAAAAATTTGGGAACATTACAAATTCAGACACTGAGGAGGTTCCCAAATTTTCGAAAAAGTCGCTTAGGCAGCCCCAAATCGAGGCATAATTCTACGCCCTGCTCCCCCTACCCCTTCCCTTTTTTCAAACTATTCCTGGGAACAATTTTGAACAAATGCTTGATCGGTTTGCTTGAAAGCGCTTCTCCACGCCACATTCCCATTATCAACTGCAGAATGTAGCTGAATTCATTATTCTAGAGAAGCAGACACTATATAGCAGAATTGTATCCGTCGTCGAGGTAAATACTCATGTCCAGCATTTTTTGGATGTGCTGCTACGATACCCTTAGGGCCGCATGCATTAACATCCTCGCCGGGGAGGGGATTGCAGCTCAAAAGAAAGCTTAATATTCTGAAGCTCCAGATATCTGGATTTCACGCTGTCTATCTATCCGTAACCATTCCCACCATCCTTTACTATGAACATATTTGAGAGGGGAGAGAAGCTGTACAAGCCGCATTTTCCAGCTTTTTGTGTGACCCCCTGATGGTCCCCGATGGCCGACCGTCTTTTCTTCAAAGTCATTTCTCTTTTTTCGAAGTAACGAAAACTTTCCAGAGTACTATTTCTCGTAAGCTAACAGTGCTAAGCATGTTGCTGATAAGAACAAATGAGTTTTCAAAATATTGAATACTAGCTGGTGGCCCCAGTCTCACCCGAGACTTCAAGTTAGTTAAGCCAACAGAACTTGTAAACTTACGCTCTAGATTTCTTCTAACATGCGCATACAGCGCCTTCAGACTGATTGCCGTACCCTACCAACTTTAAGACTGAAATGGACTTTATCGCCCCTGCTTACATGCTTATATGTAAAAATGATCGGTTGCCATGATGGCTCTTCATTTTCTTAGGTTTGAGTAAACAAATCAATAAATCGATAGAACGGCCCGACGAATCGCCGCGGAAAGTAGCTCTAAACCACCGCCGGGGTTGAAAATATACGTGTGCGAAGTTTCAGCCGGGTCGGTTCAGTGGCGCGCGTTTATATAACGAACGAACAACTAAACGAACATCCTCACAGACATTGAGTTTTATATATATATATAGATATAGATTTAGATAAACCCCAACTTTCGACGTTCATCGCAAATTTCATGACTCCAAAACATCATTTGTTTTTATCAGCAACATGCTTAGCACTGCTGGGTTAGACAGGTACAACTTTGGGATGTTATCGTTAACTTCGACGAAAGAAAAATGACTTTGAAGAGAGGTCGGCCATCGGGGACCATCAGGGAATCACACAAAAAGCTGGGAAATGCGGCTTGTACAGCTTCTCGCTCCTATCCAATATGTTTCTAGTGAAGGATGGTAATGATTACGGATAGATAGACAGCGTGAAATCCAGATATCTAGAGCTTCAGGATATGAAGCTTCCATTTAATCTGCGATCCCCTCCTTGGCTGGGATATTAATGCATGCGGCCCATAGTGAGCAGTCCCAGTTGTAAGTAAAAACTCTTCTCTATCGCATATCGCTGGCATCTCCAGACTATTCAGTCGCAGTGGAAAAAGTTTACGATGGTCGAATTCCCGTTGGGCCATATGCCATACTACGCAGTAAAAGACCAGTTATGCCATATGTGCAGGTTGTAAGCGCCAGAATCTATGCGGAGATAAGGCAGTTATTTTCCCCTAAGGCCTCGGACAGAGTTCACGCGATTTGGTCGTCGCGATTCAATCGCTAAAGGCAAGTGTTTTACGAGTTCATTGCATGCCGATCTTCTTGTAATTGGTTGTGGCAGTTTTCCAACACGACTAATCGTGACTAACTATCACAAACGAAGTACACGAAGATCGGCATGCTATGAACTCGTAACACTTGTCTTTAGCGATTGAATCGCGACGATCAAATCGCGTGAACTCTGCCCGAGGCCTAAGGAGGCGGTAACAGAAGTTGAAATGGTAGAAACCGATAAGCTGGAAAAATTCATGAGTGAATTCCGTACTTGCTTCCATGATTGTTACAGACAGTCCGTTCTGTCGCAGTAGTTTGCATCCCTGCTTCCTTTCCAGCTCACTAGTTCAGTGCTTGCTTTGTGCAATATTTTGCGATGATAATTGTATATACTCGTTTGCACTTGCTTTCAGCAAAAATAAAAGCCCTAGAAGCCCGCGCAGAAAATTAATAGTACCGCGAGATTATCTATCGTCATGACGACATCATGAGCACTTAGGGCTGCAGAAAGGATGCTCGAGCAATGCAGTATTAGGCTAATGCACTAATTGTTACTTTGCACTGTAGGCAATAAGAGATCGGTAAGGATTCCCTTTTTGAAGCTTGGCTTTGGCCATACTTTACCAGTGCTACCGGTGTCCAGTGTTACTCGTTGTTACTAGTGTTACTACTAGTGTTACCCGTGTTAAGTACTGGTGTTACTAATGTTACCGCTTTCATTGCTGTTGAATAGTGAAATGATCACAATGCAGTCTCTTTTAAAAACGCAATATACTGACTAGTGAGTGACACTAGTAACACTAGTAACATGAGTAACACGGGTAATACGGGTAACATTGGTAACACGAGTAACACTAGTAACACCGGCAACGCGGGCAAAGTATATGGCCAAAGCCTTAGGCATAGCATGAATGTGCATCACTGTTGTGTGTAACTATACCACTATTATGGCAAAATGCTGGTTTACTTTCATTTATAACTTGCTTCATTCTCAAACTGAGAGCTGCTGACGCACAAAAGTTGCAAAACAGTCCTGGAATGAGATTACACTTCAAGAGTAGGCGCCTATGTATCAAAATTTTGAGTTATTGAGTTCCTTCCGCGATTGGGGTAGGCTTACAAGGGCGGCGTGGCAGGAGTTCCCAAAGCCTAGCCGCTTTTCCTCGCAGGGGTACTTGACACCTCCAGAAATCCCTTGAAGGACATCATACCTTCTCGGGGCCGAAGGGCGGCTCCGCCCATCACTCCACGGCGCTCATTCTAAGTGTACAGCACTGTAAGATGTGCTTCATTGTATTTGAGGAGCACAGAATTGAAATCGAGAAACAGAAAACATTTTCTGGGTTTTTATAAGGGTTTAGAATCCATAGACGACTGCAGCTGAATTTTAGCATATCGAGTTATGTTTTACTCATGTTTTGGAATAAAAAAGGCTTCCCTAAAAACATATAAGTGCTTGCGCTTGAGTGTTTGTGAAGAATACTGTATTAGTGAAGATCTTGCACTGAGTGTCGTATTTTGGACTCTTAGCCAACTCTTCAGCCAAACATGCGGCGAAGTCTGGTATTCTAGTAGGCTGATTGTAGATAGTATCAATTGTAGGAAACACTACACTTAAAAATTTCTTTTTGATAATTGGATCTTATTGATCGTAAGAGTGGTCGGAATGAGAAATTCATTCAAAAATATGATGGTAGATGATGTTAGGAAAGTATATGTGTTCAAATATCCTAACTATAGGGGAAAGCGTTATGGTCATTCGGGAACTTTGATATACTCCTTTCAAAATAGGCTGGTCACTCAGTTATTCAAAACTCTTGGTGGTAAATTATTCCAGTCAGATGACCAGTGATTTACTGCTGATCAACTAGCAGTAATTCACAACTGATCAACTAGATCCTCTAATATTTCGAATGACCGGATTTACTATTTAAAAAATTCTGGGTAATCCATCTCTTCTGAGAATAAAGTGCAAATGCTCATTTTGAAAGGATGGAGCAGCAAAAGTTTCCAAGTCGCCTCCCTTGAAAAATTATAACTGTGTTCCTCGTTTTATTTTCCATTGTTTCTCTCTTTTACCCTTAATAGCTGGATCTAGTTCTCGATGCTTGCACACCTCACAATGATACCTGTGAATGGGAGGAGCAATGGGCAGGGGTTGACCTCTGAGGCGCGGAGGTGCTAAAACCCTCCTGGGTGCGAATGCTGGTAAAAACTTGGTGTGAGGAAAGGTGCTAGGAACTCCTGCACGCCCTCCGCTTACAAGCAACGCTAGGGTACCACTATGGTGAGCTGACCAAATACAGAAAATGAGGTTTAATCATTTTGACAGGTTTCTTGGTGTTCTGTACTTGGTTGATTTAGTATCAAAGTCATGCTCATTGTCTATGCGTGCAGTCGTGGCTGGAGATTAAAATCATTTTTTAGAGTCAAACAGCATCATGATAAATGCTAGATTTTAGAAGACTTCGCAGCCTTTCTCATTTGCTCTTTCAGATTCATAGACATCGATTTTGCCGAAGACGATCACCACAGAGTAGTACAAAAATTTGTATTTCTTTAGTATGCGATATATATTTTCTTAACAAGAGATAGACCGCAGGAGTGAGTGTTAAATAAACCTAGACCGATATCAAATTTTATTAGGTCAGGGGGTGCCGCACTGGAAAGGTAAAACTTTCTTGAAACTTGGCTGCTAGGGCTTACTGCACCCACAAAATTACGTCCTCAGCCCTCCCTACGCTTTCCCAACCTAGTGACCTATACGGCTGTGTAATTACCTATTTCTGGTACAAGGAAAATTTTTTTTACATTTTCATAACGTCGAGACCCTCAACCCAGTGGCCTCTTTTGACGAAATAAATTCGCCATAATGGAGTCAACAAGGTCATGCTCTACAAAATGTGCTATTATACTCATCGACCATAATGGATCCTAATGGCTATGACTGATGGCACTCCAGTCACTTAGTACTTGTCATTCGGAGCACTTGAGGGTGTCGTTTCCCACACAGTGCAACTCGCACCCACTTATAGTTTTTAGCACTGATTTATTGCCATACAATAGCAGATGTCACGCACGTGATTGGCGTAGGAACCTCAGAACTTGTCATGGAAAGCTATTGTTTCTTAAAAAAGGCTCTTTCAATTGCACTCAAAATAATGACTCCAAGACATTGATAAACACAGAATTGTTATCCCAGAATATCATTTGAAAAATCTTTAAGAGCTATACACGAAAAATGCCTTCCGCCTCATATAATCCAGTCATACTTATGGAAGACATTACAAGGGCTTCATAGAAGAGCGACTCATTGTACTAATTTTCTACGGAATTTTATATTATCGCAGGAAATAAGTTAGAGTACGATTAATAGCACTTTCTTGAATCTATCTGAGCAACTTCGCATTTGTCTTACAGTCTTAACATTGCAAATTTTGACTGCGGTTATGTGGCGAGTTCACCGCCAAAGGATAGTTTTTCAAAGGATATTCTTCGAGATGACGGAGGAAGGATTGAACGCCGAAGATCCATCTACCCAATTTCCAACTGCGAGATTTGAAATGTAGGAGAAAAGATCAATCCTGAAGTACTGCTGATAAAAGTTACTACATAGCGAGCACGGAATCAAGAACTCTCGTAGGAATAAAAAATATTTGCTCATTAGTCACACGAAAAAATTTGTCTGCCGCCGGAAAATGAGAACAATGACAAAGCTTGCATATTTTGAACTCAAAATATTCTCACAACCAGTCACATTTGTTTAGATAGAAGATCCGACATCGAAGATGATTACAAATATGTTGGCAACGTCACACGCTTGAATGAGGCAAACTCCTTCTTTCGTCGAGGTAAGCGACTTTTTTTTTTATTGGAAGCAAAATGCTTTGCATTCTCTGTCATTTGGCAATGATCCAGATGGCTTTGATTCTAGCTTGATTACTCTTTTGCGCTTATTCCGGATAAGTCAGGGATGTCGTAAATTCGCTTGTGCTCACTTCACATCTCAATATTGGATAATTTCTTGTGAGAAAATTACTGTTGATTCGAGCCGTTAAATCCACATCTTGCTACAAAAAATGTTCAAGAGGATTTATAGAATCATAGACATTTATACCACTGTCCGCGGCTCTATTTTGATAATCAATTACTAATTTCACACTTTACAAGAATTAAGCATCAAGAGCCAATCATCTGCAGCTGTAATATAAATGCGGATATATGATTCTGAGGCTTTTTATAAGACTGTTGCATGCTGGCCAGTATCAATAGCTTGACATCACTAATCATGGACTAATATAGACCATAATAAAATTGTTACTCTCGAGAAAACATTTCGCAGCTAAGAATTTACAGTTCTGAGACAGCATTCATCATGGACTCAGTATATACTTCTTGATGGTCTCGATTAAAAATATTATCCTTGTAAGCTCTACTGAAATAAAATGTCAACCGTCTTATCATCAATTTCTACTCTAGGTTGGGCCAATTGAGGCAATGTTACTGCATCGTTACTTTCATGAACCATTTCCTTGAAAAGTGATCTCAAATCGGTACTTTTCCGTTATCCTCACCCATTTTTCCAAAAGGCTTCCATAAAATATGTACGTTCTTCATTCTAAAAACAATTTTTCTTAGATCCTACAAAGACTGCCTCCCCGCCACGTGGCGGGAAAAAATTGACACGTTTTAGTCCATTTTGTTTTCGAAATCATTTCCGGTGAGGTAAAAGAGCATTTGTGACTAACTAAAAGCCTTTTAACTGTTTTCTATAACAGCAAAACAGTCTAGAATTTATCGCAGAAAATCTTGATCGCTTTCAGCAATGATTTTAAAATGTCTTCCTCTTCAAAGTTCCCACCAAGCGAATTTAGCTAGGAGAGACTATAAATGATGCTTGCAGTATCTCGCTACTGCTTGTTTCGACGCTTGGATAATGAAATCTTAGCGCACTCCTCCATTCTGGGTAGGTCTAATCTGTTCAATGATAACAGGATGACGCCATTATTATCACAGTGCTCATTTCTAAAATGTTTATTTGAAAATGGGGTCATTATCATGACTTATAATAAGCGGCTTAATCTGAAGTTGTGTGGAGTTTGTCCGTTACGAAATTACAGTGAGGAATGATTTACAATAATAAACAGCATGTGAGATTGAGATAGCGAGTATGGTTCATTTTTAACTACGGCTCCCACGTTGCAGTCAACCGAACAATGATTTGAGGGACAAGCTCTGAGACAGTGAGTTTACCACGGTTCATGATAGCCGTTGACTAATGTAGAGATTGAACTCACACCGCTAGGTAATGCAAAACAAACTCTTGGTAAAACCTGTTAAACATATAATGAATGACATGTCAAATTTTTTGACACGTGGCAGAAGGCTGACACTTCTTCCTGTGAATTTGGGACCAAATATGGTACAAGGTCGGAAGAAATATCTTTCTCTAAAAAATGGGTCCGGATAACGGAAAAGTGCCCTCAAATCTAAACCGATGCGCACTGTCTAACAGTGACGCAAAATTTACCTTCTCAATTCCCAATTGTCTGTCCACAAGCGTCCCTTATAAGCGAGGCGCTAATGTTCTGTGTCGCGACAGTGTCATAGACAATACATTCTATCCGCGTACAATGTAGCACAATGTCCACAAAATCAGGGGCGGGACTTGGTCAGTTGCCAAATCGTTCGTAGTGGATGCACAGCGGGTGGTTGTCCAGTTGTACGGGGTATTGCGATGAAGAGGGCGTGCCCTATGACCTCATCTGCTGCCTGGCTCGGATATGCTCAGCAATTCCTGGAGCTCTCATTTGCATATGTCAATCCTGAGTGCTGTTGCGCCATTTACGACGCATATGGGGGTCAAATGCCCTAGTTCGCACATTCTTGAGAGCCCCTTGCTGTTCCCTAATTATAGATTTTCAGTAATGTCCTATACCGATTGCTATATTATAGATTTTGATTTTCTTCTATAAATTTTTGAATCCATTCTAGAAGACATGTCAAGCGAGCAAGATATGCCAGTGGAGCTTGAGCAGGTGCCACTCAAATCCGACGTTGATGCACCAGCAGGTACCGTAGATGAAATGGCTTCCGTAGAAGCTCCCACAGTCGTGCAGAAGAAGACATGGTTTTTCAAAAAGGTAAATTTCTTTACAAAATGGGTAATTTAATTCTAAAAAATATATCCTCTTTTTAGACAACCAAAAATGTAGCACTCGAAGAGCCAAAAGGTGACGAAGAAAAGACAGTAGAAGAGCAGCGACCAAAGTTGAAATGTTGGTGGAGTAAACAGAAAACTGAACAAGAACAGAAGGATGATCATATGTCTATCGGAATCGATTTGGTGAATAGAGATGAAAAGGTAACTTTTAGAAATTTCTAGTTCTAAGAGCTTCTCTAGACGATCACAATCACAACGTGGTTAAACTTTTCCCAAGTAATTTTTTGAAATCTCTTTTTCTAGGCTGTTAACGAGCATGTACGACTTGGATTTGAAGATATTTTCGCAGAAGCCGACACCCAACACTCTTGGGATTGCGTTTGGCGAATGGTCTTCAAGGTTTTCACGTAAGCAAAAATTTCTTCCATATGCCCATTAATCCTGCCCTTTCAAGGCATAGCTTACAAGGACATTTTTTTCTAGATTCAAAGTTCATTAAAGAGGGAATTAGGCCGCTAGAAAAGTACGCAAAATTATTTTGCAAAGTCTGCAAAAATTTATTTTCAGATGGACTCGTCTCGCTGTCTATCGTCTTTGCTCTATGATCATCTGCCTTCCGGCAGCAATCATCTTCGGAATCCTTTTCGGCATCGTTACCGTACTGAACGTCTTCGCTTGTGTACCAATCGCAAAACTGCTCAGTATTCCTGGCAACTGGTTAGCCAAGGTAAATTTTACAAATTTTCTTCCCATTTAGTACCTAGTTTATTGGTTCCCATCGTCCAACACCCTATAACCGCGCCGAAACCCATCATGGCACCGCAAATGTGCAAACATTCGCGCTCAGGTGAAACGCGATATACCGGCGGTAGTATCCCAGCATCGAATGTACCGTCGTATGTTGCGTGTCGTATGTACACACACCACCCACCATTTGAATGCGGAAACCATATTTGTCCACACTCTCCATATGGCTACCGTACCTTGGCACTAAATTCGCGTCAATTTCAGACCTGGAGCTGGTTAATACACGCCATTGTCGATCCTGTCGCCAGTGCTCTCGGCCTCCTCTTCTCATCGTTCACAATCAGGAAGTACGGCATCAACTCGCAACCAACTGATCCATGTGTCGCCTAAATCGTTTCACATTTTTTTGTTTGTATGTAAAAAAAGTCGTTGATTTCTGCTGCACCGATGATCGAATGAAGATGTTCTTCTCTTTGTTGACTTCCAGGATCAACTACCACTCCAACAGCAATTATGTCGAGAATTTTCGAACAATGTAGGTGTGAGAAAGTGCGTCGGGTGAGAGACTCAGAGAGGGCAGGAGGCGCTAATTACATGTGAGCCAAGCGTGGACCAGATTTGAAATCAGGTCAACAGACGCGCTCGTCCGTACGCGCAACTGTTAGCTCAACTCCGAGCAGAGGTCAGCTCATCTGACAAACATGCACAAAGTAGTGAGCTTGGCTCAAAATGACGCAACAGGGAAGTCTGGGACATAGTATGAGGAGCAAAGCTATGGTAGACTTTCTAAAAATTGTACGGATATAACAATTCATGACTTTGTCTTGGTCGACGGAATAAAATCGCATTATCTCAAAATCTTATCAATTTACGATGAAGTGTTTGTGTTATTATCTTCAGAGCTGGCTGTACGTAGACTTTGAACTGGGTAATTTTAATTAACGAGGTAATTTTTGATCGCAGAAAAATGTAAAATTTTTGCAATAGCCGTCCGTGTAAATCCACACAGATGTAAATCTATCAAAGCTTCAGATATGAACATTCTGCCAAAAAATATCTACATCTCGCTTCGGAGTAGACGATCCTAAATAAGGGTACCATATAACTCAGCGTTGTGAATCTTCTGATGTATAACGCTTGTCTGAACAAGGTGGGCTTTTAGCAGCTAGTCATTTTTCACTTACGGTAGGTTGCTTATGGTTAGTGTACTGACTTTCGTCGTTAGTTGCTTCTTACCGTAAAGAATTTGGAAAAATAGGTAATAAACTGACCACATTCAGACAGGCATTTCTACATAGCAGAGATTGCGTCGAGCTGAGCAAAGTTGAATGGTGCTCTTGGATTGGAAACTCCTCCACGCTTGAGCGAGATATGGCACTGCGACGCTAATTCCACCTAATTCAGGAGACATCCCCTCATTTTTCTTGCACAAATTAAGAACGTCTTGTTGTGAAAGTGGGTCGGATACTAAATTTCGACTCATAAAAATCATTGAAAGCTACGAAAATCTTCAAATCACGTCCTGCGGATTTTGCCCAAGCCAATCACAAAACTACGATTTTCAAGAACAAAAAAAAAAACTCTTTTACTTGCAGAAAGTCAAGAGCTTTGCATTCTGCGATGAAGGCAATGATACTATTGGTCCCATACGCCCCTAACAATTGGGAGAGTGCCCTAGATGAGCAGTCACGTCACATAGAAACAACTGCGCAGAGTTCCACACTCCTTCACTGATTAGCTTGCTATACAGCACCGGGTAAAATAAAATATTCATTGGAAAAAGTAACAACAGTAACATTTCAAGATCAAAGTACATATATGAAACAACTTCGGGAATTGAGTAGTTCTCATATATGGTATAGGGTAAGCTGTAAAGATGTTCAAGACTCAAAGGGTAGAGGGAATTTGCCACAATACAATCCAAATCGTAAAAATGAATGCAACAATGAACACAGAGCACGGGATTCGATGCAAGTAGAATGCTTTACGTAAGTTACAGTAGGCCTCCAACAATCTGACAATGAGACAAACTTCACTTATGAAATGAACGGTGGTGTGCACGCTTTCAGACAACCATCAGGATACATCAACCTTTTGAACCCGTCCATCTTATAAGTCTCTTAAAAACTATCAAACATTACACTACAAGCGGCAGATGATCATCATCGACTGAAGTTCGACAAGAAAGTGAGCATTTGCTGTTGATCCGATTGTGAGATCCCCGTCCGACCAGAGGACTTCATCTGTAACGGAAATTTATACTTGAGCAGTATGATGGCTAGAAGCGCTAATAAGGTATATAGCTTCAATTCAAAAGCCAGTACGCCTTATTTAAAGAAAATTTCTCGCAAGGTTAAACCAAAACCAAACCTTGATTACTGTTTCCGCTAAGATATTTCTCATTGAAGAACACCTGTTTGTGTAGAAATCGCAAGGAATTTTCGTATTTGTCAAAATCTTAGTGATCCGTGTTTCTATTACCCTAATTTCACGCGTATAAGGCGCACTTTTTCGAATTTTCAAGCGAGCCGCTCAGCCGGTTCACTACATCCCGGAAAAAAATCTTTACATCGCACGATTCTCTCAAGCAATATACAGCAGTTATAGGGTCCTTTGGTTGTAAAGTCCTTTGGCGTGTCTGGGCTGGTCTATTTTAGTAAAAAATTCCCCCCGCCTTATACGCGTGAAATTAGGGTACTTAGGCGTCACATGCTATTAGAGCGTTAACACTGCAAGATTGCCAAAATGCCAAAACTGCCTAAAACACCTTCCCCGCATCTCCTTTACAAACAGCCTAAATAATATGCCAGAACTGGAAGCTGTGGCTGCTGAAACACTGACAATCCTTTACTTGAAGCACGCCATTTTCGGTAGGTAATAGTAACCAGATCATTAGGAAACTTCCATCAGTTTTGCACAATCACGATATCTATCCAAAAAATCTTCCCTGCATCTCTTTTACAGTACCATCTAGATTCAGGGAGATATGCCATAAATAGAGCCCGTGGCTGCTTGAAAAATGGCAATCCTATAGTACCAGATGTGCATCATTTTCAGCGGATTGTTCACAACAAAGTTGAAGTACTCCACAAAATTTGAAGTGCTGAATTAGATTACTAGGTTTTCAAACTTTTTCTTCAGATCAAGCAGCTTCATGGAAGTAACTATTCTGCTGGGATAGGCAATATGGTATTTGCTAGCTATACACGAGAGAAGCGAAGAGATTAGCCAACTGCTGCCAGATGTTAGCTAAACAGAGACATCCGGCCAGAAGGAAAGCGCTTACGGTAACCCGATATCCACAAAACATCAAATGAAGTGGGTGTTGAATGTGCATGTTAATACTTACACAAAGCCGTTCAGGTACACATCAGTCCAGCTGAACCGTGAAAACCATGACTACGGCTACACCCCCCCCCCCCTCCCCCCGCTCTGGGAGACGGTTTTCTCTGGCTGTCACCAACTTACAACCCCAGTTTGATGCCATGCGATTCTTCAAAAATTACCAGATAAATTGCAATAGCTTACTATCTGTCTGAGGTTACCACTTGCTGAGTTTGATGGCTTTTGCTGGGAAACGGATCGAAATATTTACGAATTTGTTCCTAACTGCATTTTCATGGGTTTTTGACCTTCAAATTTGCTGTTTTGATTCGATTCCAAGGTATTAAGATTGAACAACCCATGCAGCCATCGGATATATCTCCTTCTAAAATCTGAATAAATTTAGAAAGTTAGAAAACACTTATTATGTGCTATTTGTTATCCATCTGGCAATAAAAATCGCGCCACTTGACATACACCCCTCTCCTCTCACCCTACCGACCACTAAAATCATGTCATCACCTAATAAGCACCAATTAGAACAACTGTGACAAACCCAAACGATACCGCATCCGTGCAGATGATTACTCTCGTGACATCAAACAAGGCTGCGCAGCTACATCAAAGGCGTTGCCGAGACAGGCGGTAGACGGAGAACTAATGCACACTCTGGTCAGATGAGCCTCTCCTCAAGATTTCTCACGGCCCAGATAGGGGTATCCAAGCAAAGAGCAGGTATGAGCCAAGCTCATGACCTTGCGTGCGCAAATCGACGGATTATCCTTGGGTGATCTCTTCTGCAACCGTCAATCACGCCAGCACTTATGCGGCGATACAAATGATTATGTCGTGCACTCGCTCGCAAATGGAAAGAACTGTGTCAATCACAACGGGTGAACACAAACACGCGACGGACCCATGTAGTGAGATTGATGACCAGCGACAACATGGATCCAAGGTGACACTCTTAAGATATCTATTCTAGGCTTGAGAGGCCTTGTATAGCAGTCCGAAAAATGTAAAACCGAAACCGAAAAAAGATAAAAGGGCGCTCAACAGATGTAGCTCCAGACCAGGCTCAGCAGGAGCTGGCACCAGGGAATTTTCAAAACTAAAACTTCGTGCGAAGTCCCCTTTGATCCTAAACCCTGAACGTAAGAAAACTCCCAAAAAAAACGCAACGTCGACTCAAACCGCAACTTTCCGTCTTTCCGGCCACAAAAACGATATCCAGCTTCACCCGTGTCAGCTGGTGCCAGGCCCTGCTCCAGACGATCTATCCAGAAAACGGGCTCAATAATGTACTCTATGAAGAACCGTTTATGTATTAGCTTGAACCTCACCACTTGCATTTGGAAAAAGTCAAAACAAAATTTTTCTGCTGACAAGCAATAAAAGCTTGCGTAATAAAAATCTGTTTAGGAGACAAAATTTTCACCATGTATAATTTATGTGGTCTCTAACGAACCAACTACCAAAAGAACTGATTCTTATTTTGAAAAATCTCACGAGATCTTCTTCCAAGGGATTGTCAAATTTTAGAATAAATTCGAAAAGCGTCAAAGCGGCAATGAAGGGCAATACAAATTCGCTCACGAAAACCACTGCTTTAGCCATTGAGCTGTCAAATGATAGTTAACAGCCGCGCAAATTTTTTTTTCTCTTGGAGATGGTAGGTCTTTGAAGCAAACAAAGAGAATTTTCTAAAGTCACCACGACAAGCGAATCTAGACATTGCACTTGGTCGAAAAAGAAAATCACTCACCACAAACAAGTTATCATAAGAAACCGAATAATTTTGTCTTCGTCGAAAACTTTCTTGAAAACATCTTGTCTCTACACAATGTAACAAAAGCATTCGAAGAAGTAAATTGCGCTCTACGTTCGCACTCTCCACTCAATTCTCAATAAGACTGATTTTAAATTTCTGAAGATTGTATGAAAACAAAATAAACCAAATTTCATTTCAAAAGATTCTTCCTCCGTAATTATTAAATACCGACTCCAATTACAGAGAGAAAATTCCATATGATCAGAGTTGAGCAAAAGGTCAGGCACAAGTCGTTCGGGAACGACCTCCCCCCCCCCCCCCGCCTCCTTTCAGGAAAGCCTCCAAACGACCCCCTCCTAATCCTCTCCATCTCTGGAACCTTAGAGTTTGGCACTCTGGAGAAGACGAGTCTGTTCCGCGGAGTTTTTGAATTTTAGGAGACTGTATGATCGCTTTTCGGTGATTGCACATCCCAGGGGTGGAGTGTTTTGCTCCAAATTTTCACTGAGACAAGAAGAGGCTATGATCTCAACACTTATACCAGGAATGGACTGATTTCTGAATTTTGAAAACAAGTTAAGTGGGTTAGGCGCAAGGCAACAAAAGCTCAGACGGCCTGACCTTTTGAGGGGTTGCGCCCGACCCATTAATTTTATCTCTGAAGACGCTTTTTCATTTAAGTTTTATGCAGTCGCTTGCACAAACCTCGAACATTCTACATAAGTGTTTGAGCTTATCTCAACTAGTTTCGACTTTGTGGTAATCCGCGGAGATGACGCGCTTAGAGTGAAAAACGCGATGTTTGGAATATTGGCAGTACTTCCTAATCCATTATTTGGAAGCAATATGAATTCTAATTTCTATTATAGACTAATAGGGAACATCAGTTTGTTATGAGTAAAAAAAGCTGACTTCTTTTACTTTTGGAACCAAGTTAATCATATTTGAATTTCAGGCTTTTTAGACGATAGAAAACGCTACAAAATGTAACAAGTAATGGTCTGTAGTGCTAGTAGAGGTAATTTGATATGCTAATTACGGAAACTATACTCAATTTACACAGCAAGCTTTTTTGGAGACCATAGTTCGGTCTGTAGCTTTTCTTCTTCACATTACTCGATCGCGATCGTAATATTTCCTTAGTTCTAAGCGAATTCGATTCTTGATTACGACCCCCCCCCCTCACTCTTACCACCAATACGATCCCCAGGTCGGGCGCGCCTGACCTCACGCTCAACCCTGCATATGATGTGACTGAGATCTCTACGAATCATAGCATAAATTTTGATAGGTCCGTACTACTGCGCTGAAACTCCAGTAGTTCCATACCTTGACCAGATATTCATATATCGCTATTAACGAAGATACGGATACAGCACACCGAGACTTTCGACGAATATATCACCGACCATACTCGCGCACCATCTGTTCAAGCGACGGGGTTAGTTATCATAATTCCGGGGTGAGAGTACAATGCGCGCTACGATTTTGCTCATCTACTCAATATTCAGTGCAAAAGATTGCGCGAATGAAAAGGACATTATACTAGTCAGTCTCACTGCACATCTATTTCTCGAATAATAGAGCGAGAAAAGCATGATTCGCTTCGAAAGCAGCATATCAACAAGTCCACTGCAGTGAATTCAAACGACTTCCGCTTGTTTCTTCGCAATTTGTCACTATTCCCACGACTACAGAACAACGGCTCATCTAGCGCTCAACAGCGAAAATATATTGATTTTGAAAATTGGTAATACCTGGTGTAAGACTGATGCAAATGCAGTTTTGTGCTCAGCCGATAGCGCATTAATGATCACATGGCGGTGATTGAACATCCGCTGGAACAATGGAGGCACTTGAGGACCCTGTAAATAAAGTATTGTAATATGATATAGATATGTAACGACAATCTACTACATATCCAACAGAATGACAACATCAACTCACTTTGAGCCTCTCCGTCTTCCTCCGATTTCTTCGCCGTTTCCGCGCATCGCCATCATCTTCGCTTTCGCTGCTTGATGAGCTACTGGAAGAGTTCGAAGAGCTGGACGCTTTCCGTCGCCGTCTCTTCTCTTTTTCTTCTTTTCGCTCTTCTTCTGAGTCAATCTCGCCTTCGTCCAACTGAAAAATGACTTTATGAGACAGATGTCGGTCACTTCAAAATACCGAAATTCATGAAGCAAACTGAAGGAGAGCTCAATTTGAATGTCAAACTGATGCTACAATAATCAGAAAACTACATAGCACCTCAGAGGAGAAGGTTTGCACAGCTGATGAGCGCGTACGGAACGGGAAGAGGAGAACAATGAACATCCTTACTGATAAAGAAAAACAGTCACGAACACTACTTTGACAGCAAGTATATTCATTGTGATGTAAGTCTGAATTTGGACAGGGGCTGAACTCATAGAAAAAAGAACAGTCAGAACCACAAAGTGTACACAAAGTGTAGAGCAGAAAGTGACCCAGGTAAACGAAACCAGAGACCATAAAGATAATTCAGAGCAAACTACTAGGCCTTTGACTGCAGTAGAGAATTCTTACAGTATCATGGATAGAGACAATATCTGGTAAGTCGCTGACCTCTTTTGGTGGTTTTGGGGGTTTTTCAGGAGTAGCACCATCCTTTTTATCTTTTCCATTCTCAGCGTCTTTGGGTAATTGCACTTCTTCCGCTTTTTCCTTGTCAAGCGCTTCGACGCCCTCGCGAGCCTAAGAGATTCTTTATCAACAATATAAGATTGGCCTGCTTTGGCAGTCTGACAATTAACGCGCCTCAATCTCTAAAAAAGAACGAACGACAAGTAGAACGAAGCATACCTCCTTCATTATACGCATTTTCTTTGCTGCCATCTTCTTTTCTCTCCATTCCTTCTGACTCTGCCTAAGATAAGAAAATTTTGAGGCAAGAAAATTGATTCGAAAACACCAAAAAGACCACGATAGCAAGAGAGCTTACTTGAATTTCTTGAAGTCATGCATTTCACGAGGCTTCTTTGCTGGAGGCTCATCCTCCCCCATTTTGGCATGAACTATATCAGGCTGGTTCGTTTTGGTCAATCTAGAAGGTACGAGATACGAATAACACACCATCGACAGGTTAAATTGAAAAGTAACAATAACAATAAAGACTCACTTGGCCCATGACTCGAAACTAAGCGCTTCGCCTCCTAACAAAATGTTACCTTCGTCATCTTCCTCGACCTCTAACTCGCCTTCTTCAGTAACCATCCTAACAAAGTGAATTTAGAGATCATTACCCATATCTGATTTTGAATAGAGCTTACTTGCTTCGTTGAGCCTCCAAAAATGCACCAACACCCATCATTACACGACCGGCTCGCGATTCGGCGGAGTTTTTACTAAAGTCGAGATATGAAGTAGGGCTACAGCTACAGACTTCCCAATCACACTACAAGACGAAAACAAAGTGAAAAGATAAATTTCAGCAGTTCCTACCCGCGATATTTCCTCTTGCTCGGTGCTATCGGTACATACTCAGCTGCCTTCATCTGAACCAATGTCGCCCGATCGACAAAGGCGTCGTTTTTGACTTCTTGCTTCCACCACCTTTGAAACAATTTTATGCTAATACATTAACCTGACATTGTGAGCTGGTCTTACTTTATCAAATCCTGCAAATGCTCCCTCATCCAAGCCGACTGAGCTTCCGTAAGATGCCGATGCAGTGTATGCAGCATTGCTGGCCGCAGCACACTATCTGGCAGTCCACCAATTTGTGCCGACACTGCATCGCACATCGTGTACAGTTCCATAACGTCAGTGATTTCGGCCCAGTTCACTCTTTGTTCAGTAACGTACTAAACAAGGTCAAAGTGAGATTTCAAGCGCGATCTGATGATAATATGATGGAAAGCTAGATTTTAATCATATTGCCATCAAAATATTGGGGATGTGCCGTTCAAACGACTGTTTAAGTGAATCACCCTGAACTTTTCGCATTAGGCCTACCAGAATGAACTTTTTATTTTTTAAAAAGATAAACATGTAAGGCCCTAACCAGACTTCGCTCAAAAGTGCCCAAAAGCGCTCAAAAGCGCCCAAAAGCGCTCAAAAGCGCTCAAAAGCGCGCAAAAGCGCCCAAATTTCTCTGGTGCCTCTTCACTTTCTGGTGTGAGGAGAGATGAGAGAGAGTGAGGAGAGGTTAGAGAAGTTTGGGCGCTTTTGCGCGCTTTTGGGCGCTTTTGCGCCCTTTTGGGCGCTTTTGAGCGAAGTCTGGCCAGGGCCTAACGTAGTGTTTCACACTCAAAAATTGGATGAAAACTGTAATGAGTACCTCAAAAAAAGTGCTCAACACTCACCTTGATAAACATATCTGTAACATCATCTTCGTCCAGCACAGGGGCTAGTTTCACTTCTTCCGGAGGTTTTGCTGTGGGAGGATGAGATCCAGACGGAGCAGTCGAAGATGGAGTTGGCACAATGTCTTCTACTTTTGGAGGTACAAATGGCACCGGTTTTTGCTCCTCAGCAACAAAGGCAGCATAGTCAACAGGGGTAAGTATTCTGAATGATGTCTGCTCAAGGTATTCGATCATTCGCCATTCTCCCATTCATCACTTTTTAAAGACATTGGAGCAAAATAAACAGGAATGAACCTTAAGACGCTTTGCTGTTTGCCATCATCAAGCTCAAAGCCATCCTCTGAGCGAGCCGCATCCGCCTGCTCTTCAGTGTGCATGATAACCTAAATAACAAAACTATATCACAATAGTTTTTCATCTAACTACCTCTGCTTGCTTGTGTTCACTTCGTAATGGTAAGAATGTTATCCGTTCAATGTGATCAGATTCTGAATGGAATGAATAAAATATTAAATATATGCGATAGAACATACTCACCAAATATACTATTTAACAAGTTCTGCTCAGCTGAAGTTGGCAAGTCCAAAGCGTAGATTGTCCTTTTTCGAACCTCTTCATCAACAAGAGGCTTGAAAAATGGCCTAGATTTGCAAGCTGCAGGGGCGACTAAAACGCATCATCAAAATTGCAAGTGACGACTATAACAAAATCTATCTTACAGAATGCTGGACATGCTTCAACCTTCACTGCATGACCATCTACTCGCATTTTCTGAGCTTGGGTGAATGCTTCTCTGGCAGAGCTGATGGACTCAAATGTGAAAGATATATGACCAGGTTTTGGTCCCTAAAATATGCAGATCAATAAGGTAAAACATCGCAACTTGTAATGAAACCTACCTTTTGCTTTGCTGCTCGTTCGAATCTGATGCTAAATGATTCACATCGTGCAAGCATATTGATGATCTAAATTTGTGGAAGCTAGGGAGTAGATGGAATTGACCTTACACAGATTACTTACTTCCGGATGCGTCCTCCATGCTCCAGGATGCTTGAGATTCGTCACCGTGAAGGTACGATTATCAACATCCATCCCGTCATTTGAAGACGAGGGTGCCACAGCTTCAGCTTCATGCTCCACTTCTGCAGGCAGTGCTTGTGAGGATGAACCTTCTTCAGCAGCACTTCCAGCGCCAGAATCTGTCGCGGAGCTTTCAGCTATGGCGCCATTCACGGAGGAAACGACAGCTTGTTCCTTTAAACATTACTATAGCTATATGTCCACAAATTTTGGAATGGACTGATTAAAAGCCTGGAATTGGTTGTATAGGAATGACCAAGTGTTCAAAGAGAAGACAATAGTGATGGACAACCTCTGACAGTATATACTGAAGTACATACACGCATTATCCCCCAAATATTCACTCTCTCACACACAAGCCCACTGTTGAAATTATTCACGTAGCATCAAACTGCGGCGTGCACAAATTAACAAAGAGGCTCTCTGCGCGAGTAACATCACTACTGACTTCGGAAATGAGCTGTTTTATAGTGTATGTAAACACTGTGTACTACTGACTGCATATTTTCTTACAACAAAGCGCATCAAGACTACGTATAGGCGATTCATCGCACGCAAAGGCAGGACGCCACTACAAGTACTGTCGGCGCCTCGCTGAATCCACGCTCTTTTCAATTTCTTGAGGATACATGTTATCGCATATAGATGCTACACAAGCATTTACGTGAGCCCTCAAAATCACTTGCTTCATAAACAAGTTTTCTATCGTCATGCCCTGAAGTATTCTCAAGGTATTCGCGCTAAATATGGATTGTAGTATCACAAAAAATTATTTGTTCAAGGCAATGGAATGATGTTTGGACTGCACTACACTTACACAACATAAAGTCTTTACTCTGGTATCTCGCAAAGCAATGATTATGAGTGTGACGCATTGCCCTGCGATGATCGATATGTAGTTTTGGAAATTCATTATATTTCTGGAGTTTCTTGCATGAAGTAAGTATCTCCGCGTAAACAGGTCCATCTAGAGAAATGAATCTCCTCTCCTTGTATGGTTTCCGTTCTGGTAGAACAGACTAGTACTAACAGATAGCATGCTCCAAATAAACTGTGCATTGGGGCGCTCTTTCGCGCATTGATCGGCCGTGCACTTTCGCTATGTTCAATGGTACAGGCCATACTTGATCCACTTGATCCGCTTCGTCAGTGGTCAAGTCAGTGAACTGACTAATAGCGGAGTGGATGAAGCGCATCAGGTATCAAGTGAAGATCCGCTTCGCTATTGGCCAGTCCATTGATCTGACCAATAGTGAAGTGGATCAAGCGGATCAAGTATGGCGCATGCCAATTTGAAGAACTTCTGCGGTAGCCCAAACGTCACTTTCGTGATATCCAAAATGCATTTTAATTCGGCGTAGCGAACGGAACTAGCAATAAAAGCAGAAAGATCTGCGCGGAGTTCTACTCGATGACCGACAGCGTAAAAATCAGAGGACAGCTGATTCCGCAAATAAGATACCTATGAACTAAATCTTCTATTGGCACTAGCCAGATTTCGCTCAAAAGAGCCCACAAGCGCTTGAATTTTTTTTTCTCTCTTCACATTTCTTGTATCTCCTCACACGCGTTTCGTGCTAACGTACTGGCGTTCTAGGTTAGCGCAAAACTTATAGAAAAAGGTGACAGGAACATGAAGAGAGATTAAATAAAGAAGTTTAGGCGTTTTTGGGCGCTTGGGAAGGGCCGGTTTCTTGGATGCATCCGCGATATCAGTAGATCTATAGATCAATGCGGATTATTAATTATTGCGAATTATTGAGCTACTCAACAGGAGTTAATAATCTACGTAGCTCAATTTAGGTATTACATTAAGCAACAATTCATCACCTCAGCAACTTGACAAGATCCATTCTGTTGAGCATGGCCTCCCTCTTTGTCTTGATCTTGTTCCTCCATGGTTCCTGAAACCTTCATCAGAAAAAAATACACATCGAAAACCAATTTCATGAAATAAACGGCGGAGTTGACGCACCATACAAATACGTGTTTAAAGGAAGGGTTTATTCATATATGAGATCGCAATACAGTAAACTCAGCAAATTTATACAATCTTTGCAAAGCAGAAAGCACAAAAATCTAATGAGCTTAATTCTACAATCTAATTCAGTTTATCAACATTCGATACCTCAGTTCCACCTAAAGCGATGATAATTTTGCTACACAAGGAGAAAATTAAAACAAACCAAAATTAGCATAAATTTCAAATATGAAGAAAGATGAATATGACCACTCTGAACGAAAGAGTTTAACCCATAGCGAAACACTTCGATCCAATATTAAACCGGTAACTGTCTAGTGGAGCTTGTTGGAAGATCCTACATCTTGTTAGGTCGCCAATGGAGCATTCGTGCATTCAGTGTCAAACGTGGAGGTCTCGCTACTGTTTTACGCAATAATTCTAACTTTTTAATGTAAACAAACACCCAAGGTTCAATATCTTCGGGCGTTTCTGATATCAAGGTTGGATCATAGAGGTGCAACCATTCCAGCGTGTCTACGACATCTTCGACCTGCATGCCTATAACAATAACGTATATATCCAGAGACTTTCCTATACAAAATCTAGCCGTTTGAAAATTACCCAAAATTCCAGCCAACTCCGATACACGGATCCATGAGGTGTCCATCAGGCCGGACAAATGATCAACAATCCTGTAGGCCCAGTAGTGCCTGTAACTGGCCAAGCCAAGATCAGACAATGGCTTTTCCGGTGAACCTTGGATATTTTCCCGTCGTGATAGTTCGTAACCTGAAATTTATTCACACAATTACTGAGCTAACATAGCGCGAAAATGCTAAAAACTAACTGAGCTGAATTAGAAAACTCCCATAACCACGCCTCTGAAATGGGGGAAAAATCAAGATACAGCTGAGATTAAGATCATCAGCACATCCTCGCTCTTTGGAAAAATAACCAACAGGACGAACATCACCTCAAAAAATGTCAGTGAGATTCCACAAGTTACGAGAGATAGACTGAACCACTGCAGCATGGCGCAAAAGCATAAGAGAGATCAGATACAATCAGCAATGTTAAGTGAATTACAAGCATCGTACATGTGACACCGTTATCAGCGCTTTATGAAATCATAGAAAAGTAGTCTACATCTTCTTATTACTATCATCTTCAGCAAGTCAGTTGTGAGTTAACGCAGCTGCGATAAATAAAACTACATGCTCAATGAAGACTAACCAGCTTGATTCAACTCGCAAAGCACATAGAAGAGAAAACCAGATACTCCAAAATAGATAGTTTTATGATCCATGAACAATTTCGAGAATAAGCACAAACACTGGCAGTACATCTGAAAAGACCATATGAATTAACAACAAAAAAAAACATTTAGAAAGCGATACGCCATGAACTTATGCAAACTTCACATACTTTTTCAATTTCCCCGTCTATTTCGAAAACCGCAATCCCTTCCATGATGTCGCGATAGATCTCTCGTCCAGGAGGATGTCGCGCATTGCAGGAACTCTGCAAAGTCGTGCAATGGGAAACATTGCGATATAATCATTATAATTACCCACCAAGTGCATTCTGAACGCCCTTTCATGTCTAAAGTATAAGAAACAAAATTCGCATATGTACAAGTATTTCTCTCGACCATATTCATCAGGATAAGGTGATACATACCTGAAAGTCAACAGATACACAAAAGTCCATGACTGCACAAGTATGGTGAGTCTTAGAAACTTACCAGGTGTCAATTTCAAACTCTCCAAAACGGATGACTTCGATGTATTTCACCTTCGTTACCTAAAATAATACATATCATGCTCAAAATGTCGGTTGATGAAAGACGACAGACCTCCTTATGTTCTTCTTCAAGTACATTGGAGTAGTCGATGATATAACTGACAGGGGAGGCATCTTTGATTTTGCGGATCCTCTTTTCTCTACTTTCGCATCTCGTTAAAGCACTTCTGTAGCGTTGTGATCGTGGCTAAATATGTTGATTGTCATCAGCGTAATAAAGCGGAGCTGATCCTAAATCCACTTGAGCCGAAGATCTAGAAAGGAACTCATCCCTCAGTTTCTTGTGCATTCAACCCTAAGCTTACTCATAATCAACAGATCATAAGAGGGCAAAAAATTCCCAGTAGAACACCTGCATACGAAGGAAGCGTTTTGTGGTCCATAACGAATAGCATGGATCTAATTATGTTGTAAACAGGGTCAAGCTTGTGATGCGACTGTCGCAACGGGGGGTCGTAAAAAGGGTACCTAAGGTGGGGGGGGGGGGTCGTAAGAGGAGGTAGTTAGGCTAAAATACCCTAAGCTTAAAAGGGAATCAAAGAGCAGACAATTAGCTGTGTTCTTCAGAATAAATCTATAAAAAAGTGGAGATCAGAAAAAGATAAAAAATCTGTAAAAATTCTCAAAAAAAAAACATTTACAAGAGCTCAAAACTTTTGAACGATGTATGATTTGATAAAAGTGCTAAATGTACCGATTGCCCTAGAAATCTTGCTTCTGAAGCCCTCCTGAAATCTCACACGCTCGACAAAAGCGAATATCTTCACCAGCTGTGACCATCATGAATTTCTAAATCTCTTTGTAATGTTTTTTCACGAGCCCATATGATTTATCTGCACTTTGGAGATGCTCCGCTACATCAGTGCAAAATTTGGTGTTATTTTGTCAACTGTGGATTTTCTTATAATTTTATGTATGGTAGCAAAAAATCAGGAAAGGGGGGTCGTATCTGGGTCGCATCTATTTCTTCGGAGCTATTGAAGCTTGTTGGCTGCAATTCAGCTGTAATATAAAGCCATCCTTCTACTTTCCCTCATAAAAATTGCAGGCTGTTTTATAACTTCTCTGGTAAGTTACAAAATTTTAAGATCAAAAATCCCAATTTTTGCTTTTTAGGATCGCATCTAAATTTACGAGAGTCGCACCTAAATTTTTTTCGAGTCTTTCTGCTCCTCAAAAGCTGAAACTTCTTCTATGGATAGTCTGGGCACTATACTACAGAACCTGTGTTTTGCAGCCTCTCAATTTTTTCCTGGCCTTAATTACGAATTTTCAAACTACCGTGCTCATGCACGTTTTTGACGTCGTTCTGGGCGGCGCTCAAGCGGTTTCTTTTTCGCGGGAAAAACTGTGGAAGAGGTAGGAAGTAAGCTTCTTAGTCGAAAACATCTTTTGAAATTCAAGAATGTCATTTTTTCTCCGTGCAAAAATTTGTGTCGCCTACGGGAATCGAATTTGCTGGTCTGAAGTATGCCTGAAAATTCAAAAAAAACTTGCAGATTCTCAAATATTATTGAAGGTGTGTATGTGTGCTACAGATGCTGAACGCGCCCATTGGCCTAGAAATTCTGCTTCAGAAACCTCACTGAAGTTCTCACGCAGGTGTTTTTTGGGATTGACATTCGTTTATGCACGTTACCGCGAGGAATGAGGGCAGGGGAGGTAAGGAGGATAAATGGGGGGGGGGGTTCGTACGGATGGAGCCTTCAAGGGGAGGTCGTAAATGAGGGTCCCGGATCGCATCAACACGCTTGACCCTGGTTGTAAACTATGGTGCACACACACTATCAATGGTGTAGAAATTTCAAACTTCAAGAATATGAAGGTGAAAAAAGGATGTAAACGGGTGAAGCGTTTTGCGGCCAAAGCTGCGCATGTGCACCATTTATGGCATCTCAAAAGCACAGTACACCCATTAATAAGGGAGACGGCCCTTCTGAACCCACCGTCCCCTACAGTAATCTAGAGCTAGGACGCGCGCGCATGCGCTGCGATGACTGCGGACGAGTGCTCCGCGAAGGGCTCGTATTTTCGGAAATCACCAACTCCTTCCTGCGGGTCTTGCTTTATGGAATGCAAGCCAATCACGCTGATTTCAACCAAACACAGCTACCATCCTCTGAATGTTTGGTATTCTGAATCCTACTTCCCAGCAGGTATGTTTATGATTTATGGGACATTTTTGAAGTCTTTTCATTCCCATGATTCATAAAAAAACTTCTCATGAATCTCCTTTGAATTTTTTCGAACTTTGTTTTTTTGCTTTTTCCCCTTATATCCCTTGTGTGTGCGATCCTTATAATGTCGTGCATCGTCACATCATATTGCTAATGTGAGCTGCTTGATGTTATTGAGGAAAGCCCACGTAATCAAAGTTTGTGTAACAACTCTTTGTAAAGGCCAATTATAACTTAAATTGGTGATCTACGCTAATTCGTTATCAAATGCATATTTCCTTCTGACATTTCAGTGCAGCTCTGTAACTTTCCAAGAAAATTATCATCTCCTTGAAATTCTCATTCCTAGTAAAATTTACGAACTCGCATTTGAAATTTTTACGCTATAAAAAGCATGATGCGTGCAGCAAAGAAAAGGTCGCTACCAAAATCAATTCATGTAGATCACGCTACCAAATGAAGGTGATGCATTTTTATTTGATTGCGTTTCTGATATGGACGATGTAAAAAAAACCTCATACTCATCATAAAAAAACGTATGCTTCCCTACTGGCATGCATGTAGTGCACATTTCGATCGAATGTGACTAGATGATGCTGCAAGGAGGCAGACGTAGGAGAGTAGAGCATGCAATCGAACTAAAAAAACAGTAAAATAAGTCGAAAAAGACATTAAAAATGTCTCATAGATCAAAAACATACCACCTTGGAAAGTGGCCGGCGATTTAAGTAGTGTTAGAGCGAATAACTTAAGTTATTGAATTCTAGGGAATTTGGAAAATTAGGAATTTTCTAGAGAATTACCACCATAATCTCATTGTGGAGTAGGTTACCAGCGATGTGAAACTCGTCCGCCTCCGCAGCGCGTCTGCCCAGGTCAGCCGCTCGCTCCCGCGAGCTAGCCAATCATGGGGTGACCTCTAATTACTGCTGACCTCTTATAGCCGTCGCGATTGGGGCAGGTTCAGAAGGGCCTACACCCATTAATAATGGTGAGATTTTGATGGATAACTGCGGGGCCCCCAGACTAAGTAAGCGCCCAGGTCCCGCTGCAGACGACGAATTCCAAAGCAAGAGAATCCCTTCAGAAGATAGAAGCAAAGGCGGCTTCGCCCAACATGGCGGTCTGAATACAATGTCCGAAACTGGGTGTGTATCTAGAAACTGTCACACCTTTCATTATGATTACCAGGTTTTCAGCATTTCTGTCTACTCTAAAATCCACGTTCAAGCTCTTATCTTCATAACACCCACGTTGATGGCGGGATTACCTTGGCCGCTCCTATCGTCTGAAGTGATTTTCTCGCTTCGAAATTCATCTTTTGCAGCGGAGGAGCGAATACTTAGCCAGGGGCTTCGCTAAACAGCATCGAAATCTCACCGTCCTCAATTCAGGTAACAGTGCCCATTGCGCTCAAGCTCACTCTGTGCATGCGCTTTCAAACAATCTCCAAAGCTGCACTGCCAAGTTATCAATTCCGGCCCGCAACAATATACTTGTTTAACTGTCAGGTGTGGAGACCATATGAAAGCAACCAAGAAGCAAGAATTGAAAAGGCATCACATAATGCTGGAAATACAGCGAATTGCCAAGATCACTGCATCCGGTTGCGAACCAAATCAGGAGGATATAAACACCTACGGTAAAGTTATGTAAGTGAGTTCATGTAAAGCTCAAATTGATTCCTTGTATGCGATTTAATGATAATTTTCGTACAGCCTAACTTCTTATAGTGACAAAAACTAAAAAAGTTCACCGCACCTTTACTTTAGCCAGATCCACCCACTGATCCAACCTTCTGTCATCGCCATCGAAATGAACATAGCATTCAACAGTTCCAGTCTTTTGTTGTCGTTTATCCAGTACTGTTGCCCCACGCCATCGACCTCTTCTTCCTCTCACAAGGTAGCTGCCGCCGATCACTACTTGTTCCCCGTCCGGCACGGGCATGCAAATCGTGATGCTAACGAAGCAAAATAATCTAAAGAATAGGTTGCTAAGGATAAATTCCCCCTGAGAAGGAAGTAAGTCAGCGAGTAACATTGTATGATCTTTGGAAAGTAGAACCACCTGGTCAGTGGACTTGTATAAAAACAAACAACGGCACGGCAATATACCCCCTCGTCAAATTGTTTTCAACAATGGATCCTCCAAGTACAACACAGCCCCAGTTCACCCTCCAATCCTACGCTCAATCCTGTAAGCGTGCTTCTACCACCGGCAAAGCGTACCCATTGTAGGTAGCGTCAGGGACCCATCACACTTCGCCGAGGAAAGCCCAAAAGCGCCCAAAAAAGCCCAAAAGTGCTCAAAAAGCCCAAAAGCGCCAGAAGGAGCCGGAAAGACCCCTTCCGCGCGCAAGTTTCGGCGCCAAGGGAACGGCCATAGGTTGCCGGTAACGGTTGTCGGTGTTGTCCATGTTGTCGTTGTTGGGGTTGCCGAGGTTGCCGGTCGTTAGGACCTCATAATAGCCTCCACGTTTCGCGCGCTCTCTAAACTGTCTTCTGACCCCGACAACACCGACAACCGTTGAATAGCCTCCACGTTTCGCGCGCTCTCTAAACGGTCTTCTGACCCCGACAACACCGACAACCGTTGCCGACAACCCATGGCCGTTCCCTAAGGCATGCCTGTTGATTTCGCAACCGAGTCTTTTTGGGTTCATTTTCTGTCACTTGCACATCAAAATAATGTCAGAATTCTACGTTCTGAAGTTCGTTCTGCGTACCGGCTCTGGCGCTTTCTGGCTTTTTCGGGCTTTTTCGAGCTTACTTGGGCTTCTTTGGGCTTTTTGAGGCTTTTGAGGCTTTGTTTTATCCGCGGAGTATGAGGGGTGAGGGTATCCCTCAGATTAATGAGGTGTGGCCCCCATGCGGTGCTTTGCGAGCACAGGGGCCAAGCCCCGTGCCACTCCAATGAGATAGTTCGAAGAAACTTTCAGTGTGGAACTTCTAAGCATCGTTTAGACCGCGCCGGAACCCGTCCGAACCTGCCTGAACCGCAACGTGCTGGAACCTGCCAAATGTGGGAACAGCGGAGATATGTTTGGGAATTGGCATATTGGAGCACGCGTGAAATGTAACTCGACGATACATATCTTCATTTTCATTTGCTTCCCTACTTTGGCAGGTTCCGGCGCGTAGCCGTTCACGGTTTTCGGACGGGTTCAGGCGCGGTCTGAAAGATGCCTAAGCATGCTCAGCACTTAGCGCATGGTTTGAGTTTAGCACTGGAGGAAGTACGGTGTACGTTGAGGATCTACTACCCAAAACCACCAAAGATTGGCAAGACCCACATTGTGGCCCTAGTGATTTTCTCGCTTTCAATTCGCTGATTTTTTGCTTACAATATTTTCTTCCGCTTTGCGCTGCTGGGTCTTGGTGCTATGATGGTAATGATATGCTCACTGTCAATGCATCCAAGCTTACATTAGCACCAATAAGGGCCTATTTCTTCGCATTTCTTCATCTTGCTTTTCTTTTCTTTTTTTCTTTTTTGAATTGTCCGTTTCGAAAGCTGAGAATGGTGCTATCCCCCAAATTTCGAGTTGACCTTTTTCTCAAAACCCAAAAAGGACAGACACATCTCGCGTGTGTTTCACTCAACATTTTTTGCTTCAGATCGAGTGGATTCACTGCATATAACAAAATCAGAAAAGGACAAAGCATCACTACTTCAATAAAATACACGAAAAATGAACCAAGTGGAAGAAATTTAGAAGAAACATTTTCTGCACTTGAATGTAAAAAGTGACGAACCCTGGTATACAAAAAGAGCGTGGCAGCAGCCAAAGAAGAAGCAGTCAGGCCCTGTAGTTTTTTACGAAGCTAATTCAGTTTCTGAAAACAGTCTTCCACGCAGAAGTCTTCATTATAGACTGAATTCTATAAGTTTCTATGAGTTTTATCAAGTCTACCCATCACTTGTATGGAATCGTCAGCAAAGCGAATCCATGAGTATGATATGGATAGATCGTTTGTACTATTAGATGCAAAGAATGGAGAGTGGGCAAAAGCTTTGTGTACTATCCAACACAAAAAATGAAATGTGAACGAACAAAAAATGTCATGCGTTTAATGGCAGAAGTGACGGAGATATACAAGACTGATATAAGGCTTAAAGACAGGATCATGACAAACAACTATCCTATTGTGATCCTGCGATGATCATGGCCTTGCACACAAGCAACACCAATTGTATTTTTAGTTTTCATACGAAAGTGAAACAATTTCTAACTTTGTTCATAACATGAAAAAATCAATGCAAGTGCATTCAAGACTGAGATATCTATAGAAATACTTCAGGAAAATAAGACTGGACCACTGAAAGTGGCGTTCTTCTAAAGAAGGAGTGTTTCCATGAACTAGAAAAATGGATAGACTGAAACAGAAACCAGCCAATTTTTTCCGATTTTTGGAGTCACTGATGGTCAATCCTTTGACACAAATTATGTCGAAAGAGAATGCAGCTATCCGAACTCTCTTTGAATTTTCATGAATTTGAAACAGTCTCCCTCCAAAAAATCCAAAAACACACCAGACCTAGGGATGTACTGTCAAATTTGGATGCAGCGACAATCAAAATAAGTGCTCAGCTGTTTCCACCAAGCCGTCTCCGCGAACGTTTCATTGTCTTTTAGGATACACCCGAAATGATTTTTCTACTGCAAAAATGCATGACCTCCAGCGGCTCGACTCGAATGATTGAAGAACTTTGATTTTCAATAGCATCTAGCTTGCGGTTTAAGTAGGAAGTGACTGCATACTACTTCTACTCGACTATTATTCAGTGACTGAAAAGAGCGTAAAAACCACGTACTCCCCTGTTCGAAATAGCTTTTGAACCGCGATCAGAGTATAATTTAAGAGAATCACAAGCTAACAAAAAGCCAAGCAATCAGAAAGAATTCGAAGTATTTGACGTGAGAAAGCATGCATTTGTCGTAGAATATTCACGGTTGCAGCAGCGAATAGACGTGTGACGCCGCACTTCCAGCTTGTGGCTTCCAGTTGTCGCTTGCAGATTTGCTGCTTGTCTTATTTGGTTTTCATGCTGTGTTGAAGCCGAGGAATTATGATGCATCTGGTTAGTTTCGAAAAACATTGCATTTTTAGACAATGCTGGGCATTGTACAGCTGCCACATTAGGTAACTTGACTTTTGTAAACATATTCTATTTTTCTCGTTCTTGTAACTTTGGCATCTGTCAAGACATTTTTCGTTCATAATATCGTCTGAGGCCGCTAAAATCTGGTTCTGCGTGCTTGTAAAAAATACCTAGAACTAGCTGACACCTCACCTCGCTAGTCGGAGTGCAAGTCAATTCCTGTCTGTAATGAGCTAAGCCAGAATCTTCTAATATGCTATTTACGTTTATGAGTCTTTAAACATTCCATTCACATTTATCCATGTACATCCAGGAAACGACAATGCGTCGCGGGAAGCAAGATGAGAAGAAGTTAGAACAGGAGCGGCTCCAGCATATTCTTTTAGAGATGCTCAAAGAAGACGAGAACAAATACTGCGCAGATTGTCAAGCTAAAACACCCCGGTACCTTTTCTCACTCCCAAATTTCTTTTCATGATTTTCTAGAACAAATGTTTCTTTTTCAGGTGGGCCGCATGGAATCTGGGAGTGTTTATTTGTATTCGTTGTGCAGGAATTCATCGAAATTTGGGGGTACATATCTCAAAGGTAATCTACATCTAGTCTTTATCCAGCTAGCCTAGTAGATATGATGCTTGACATTTGGTGTTCTCGCGCTGTTGACAGCATTTAAGAGTAAACAACGGGAGTATGCGCTCTGTGGTCGTTCTTTTACGCGCGACTTGAGCAAGTCTCGAACATACAAGCATAGCTTTGGTTTTCATTTTTTAGTCATTGTATGAGCAACTGTCAAGTATTAAGTCTACTTGATTGTGTTTTCCAAGATTTTTCCCGATGTTGTGTTGTCTGACAGGTGCGTTCGGTTAATTTGGATTCGTGGACGGCAGAACAGGTTCAGTCTATGCGTGTTATGGGTAACGAAAAAGCTCGCAAGGTAATAATGAGTTATCTTGTTTCTTTTTTGTAGTCTTACCCTTTGTCGATTGGAATCACCTTTAGGTTTACGAGTATTCACTTCCTGAGCACTTCCGTCGATCGATGTCCGATCATCAGATGGAACAGTTTATACGTGCTAAATATGAGCAGAAAAGGTGAGCTCTAACGGGTTTCTAGGATCAAACGAAATTAGTCTGAGTTCATGTTTGTTTAGGTATATTATGCCAAATTTTGTTTATCCTCGAGTAGACGTTAACGAGTTACCAAAACCGGGTCAGCCAATCACGAAACACAAGGACAGTTCTGCTTCGGCTTCACTTACATCGGTAATTTTTTGTTGACTTGAAGTGGGCTTTTTTTGCTTTTCTTGCAAAAGAAACTTTTTTTTATTACTTGCGTTGTTATCAAATACGAGTATGGTTTTTGAAGTTATAATTTGCAAGTTCGCCTTGAGTTTCGTGAGATTCTGCACATACTTGGACACACGCGGAAAAACCTCTGCATATGATCTGCCTTTTGAATATTTACTACAGAGTTACGCTAGTATATAAAGGACAAGCTCGGATTTGTTGATGGTGCTCTGTAAACCGCACTCGCGAACGTCGAGCATGCTGGTCGCCAATAAACACTTTTACTTTATTGTGTGCTGTTAATTTTTTGACTTTGTTCCTGCTTTGAGAAAGCTAAAATCTTACACGCGAATGTTTTCTAGCATGAGATGACAAACGACAGTTTCGGTGACCGTCGTCTTCATATTCATGTTGTTGATTTTCGCAAAAATTTACCCAAAAAAATCGCTGTGTAGAATTCACTGTGGAACTAAGGAATGTCATGCTCGTAAGAAGTGCATGAAAGCACATAGTTTGAAATTTTTGATTTAGGTAGTTGTTTTCATCGACTTTCCTCGTTTTTTTTCTTTGTTTTCGTGCATAGGGACTAGGCGATTATGACAGTCTGTTTGGTAATATTTTGTTTTGAATCATCTTCTCTTCCTGATCAAAAAATGAGCCTTGTTGTCTCTTATTTCAATAATATGTAGAAAACGAGGTGTTTTCTTATTTGATATCTACACAGTGAGTAAACTATGACATTCTCAGAATAACATGTGTTTCTTTGGTGTAATTAGTTATGTTTCAGCCTACCATTGCACGGGTTTCTGCTCCAGCTGGTGCAACTCCGAAATCTTCAGGGAATGCAGTTGTTAGCGATCTTTTGGACTTCTCATCTCCACCTAATTCATCACAACAGGCTAATGGCGGACATACATTAGTTGGAGATTTGTCATCTCTATCCATCACTAATGATCATCAGGTAAATTCAGTTCCTATAAACTTTTTCTGTTGTCTTCTTATTAACACTGTGTGCATTTTGCATACAAACCTGTGCGTAATCACTAAATATCAACAATAGCATGACGATTAGTGTTTTTTTTTTGTGGACAAAGATATCTATGATCTTTTGAAAAGATTGCAGAAACTTGCACATTGAAGCTCAGTTTCCAAATTCTTTTGAACCTCTTTCGTGATTTGTTTCTTTACACAACTTCTTCATACCAACATTTCTTATCACCTATTGAAAGGAAACAGACTTTATTTTTACTATGCATGCTAGTCAACCTTATTCACATTCTCTGGGTTCGTCCATGTACGTTTTATTACAGTGAAGTCACACACTTTAGAACGTTACGGCAAGCAAGTCATCAGATCTTGATGATATGTTCGGTTCGTTTACATCTGCTCCTGTGATCGATGCTGTATCTGGTGCAAGTGCCATGGAGCAGCCCTCTCCTACCGGATCTATGAAGCAGCCTGCCTCCACTACACAAGCCGCCGGAGATCTGATGTCGTTATCTGCTGCTGGAGGTAGTGAAGAAAAGAAGACTACTGCTGATATTCTTTCCTTATTTGGCGATCAAGCAAAGGTGAGTGTATTTGGTTTTGGCAATACTATCTCTTCATCTCGTTTTCAGAATCCTGTCCACCCCATCATGCCCGTTGGAGGTTTTGCAGCTTTTGGACTGCAGGCAGCACCACCAAAAACTCAGCAGCAACAACAAACATCTACTGGGGATCCATTTGGTGCTCCTCCTGCGGTAGCGCCAACAATGGGTGCGGTACCCATTGGTATGAATCCCTTGAATAGTGCACCATTGGGGGCTGCTCCCATGGGTTTGCCTATGGGAGCGCCTATGAGTGTACCACCTATGATGGCTGGGACGGCGTTGCCTGGTATGGCTATGCCACCTGTTCAGTCTTTTGGATTCCCCAATCCGTTTGAACAAACAAGTGCAGCAATGGGGATGCAAGGCCTGCAGTTGGGAATGATGGCATCGCCAGTAGCACCCACAGGTAATGCTCCAGTGATGCAACCACAGTCACCCAAGGCGGAGTCTGCATACTCATCTCGAGCCAATAATGCGTTTGCTGATCTTTCTATCGGGAAGGTTAGTTCATTTGTGAGCTGAAAGACTTTACATCTGAATTTATCGCCACAACTTTCTGATAATGCTTGTTTCGAGATCTTAAGCCTCCATCAAGATTGTTACAACTTTTATTTTGGCTGAAGTTTCGGCCAACTCGCCTTCGTCGGAGCCTGTAAGTGAGGAACAAATGAGATTTATCCAAATGTCTCATCACGTCAGCCAAAATAAAAGTTGTAACAATCTTGGTGGAGGCTTAACATCTCGAAACAAGCATATTGTAATGCCAAGATTTACTGAAAGTCGAGCGTGGAGAATTTCTGATAATGGCTTCACTGTCCTAGGGAATACCGTTACTTACAGTTGCAGACTTTTTTGATTCAACAGTAGTGCTTCATAAAATTTATATACCCAGGCTAAGGGGGTATGGAGCGCGAGATTTTAGCTGAACATTGGTGAACAATTTGTTCGTCAACTCTGGTATGTGCACAACTTCTTTCTCATGTGAAGCGGAGGGATTTTAGGAACGATAGCATGTGCCAGCCGCCGGCTCGCTACCGTACGCGGTGCGCTGCTTGCTCTGCTCCCAGTTAATTAGCATAGCAGTGCCTTGCACTTACGTGAAATATTCCGTACACTCCCTTATGCTTCTTCCGTTTTTGCTTATTAAATTATGGGCAGGTTTGCCGTAGAAATTCGAAAAATCTTCTTTTAGGATAACTTTACACTTTCAACGTGCCTTTTTTTTCAATTCATGTCAATTTTTCGTTGTCACTAAGTTGGTCTATATTTATTATAACAAACAACTCTAAACAAAATTTGTTCGTGAAAATGCTTGAAAATTGTCTTAAATCACACTATTTGGTTTGTCATATGTAGTGGGTGCTCTATCTTATCAAAGTGGAGCTTTCGCTCGGAAAGAAACTAACTCATTGAGTGAAAATCATCATTACTGCGAAAATCCGATAATCACGAAATTCTCTCTTATCAAAAGAATCTGTAAATAATCTGTGAGGAACATTTTAATCGTTAGAGGAAAGCAAGCATTTAGATTTTTTTTCAAAAAGATGCTGCAAATTTACGACATGTTCATGCATACATTCTCCCATATCGGATTCATATCTACACTTGTTGCATTTTTTATTTGCTAGAAAGCGAGAAAAAAAAATGAGAAATGAGTGTTCTCGATTAAATTTGTAAGCAATGCTGTTTTTTTTTCGAATAAATTCTTACTACAAACCTTTGCAAGTATGACCATGAATTTACAGCAGTTCGACAAAAAAGAAAAGAAAATCTATTATCTTCTTCAAAGTTATTAGAGTATTCTGCATCCGTGTATTTTTAGGTTATGAACATGAACTATATGGCTGGAAAGACGTCAACTCCATCTCCTGCCCCAAAACCCCCATCATCAACAACACCAGCTAACATGAACTTTGACGACTTACTTGGATTGTAATGTGATGTTACATGTGTATCTTGGAATACTCACGATCGAGTTGCACTTGCGTTTATTAGACCTTTTCTTCATTTGCTCACTTGCGCATGGAAATTTATCTTAGAACAGTTTTTTTCACTAGGTAAAGGGTTCTCACTATAGTGGCAGCGAATGCCATAAATTCATTCGTTATTCTACAAGTGATCTACATAGGATTCTTTAATTCGCGATCTTTCGTGATACTGACATTTTATAGATCTAGCGCTAGATTCTTTACAACTCACTTCTTAATGGAACAGCTTGGTCTGTTCTCTAAAGCTATTTAATACCTCGGAACTTTAGATGCCTTTTCGAATTAATGATTGAGTGACTATGTAGCTCGTTTCCTCACTATAAATTTGCTTGACTTGGATGTGGTTGATTTTTTTTTGTTAACTTTGTTCCGTATCCCGTCATTCCTTCTGGGTTGTGATGTTATGTTGTGATGGGCTATACAATGAATACATTTCAGTCGTCGATCGCAAAGATTAGAAGAGTTGGCACTTTTTATGAAAACTTGAAAGCTCAGACAGTCGAAGGGATACCTCTGGCGGGCATATGGCGCGAGTCTGCCACTTCTGCTCCGGAGGTATCCCATCGACTGTCTGAGAGAGTTGAGAGTTGCACTGCGTCTGCTATGAACTTGTATTAATATCTTTTGTTGTCTTTGTAGATTTTGGGCAACGTCTGCCCAACATTTTGTCCAGACGCCTTAAAGGCAGTGTCCGGGCAAAATGGGGGTTCTGAGATTTCTCTGCCATGTGAAAGTAGCCCCTCTGAGACACAACATCGCGCAACTGCGAGCATAAAACGTTCGACCTAAAGCAAGAAAAACGATTGCAAATTGGGGAAACTTACGCCTTGGGGCGGGGTCCTCCGAGTTGTTTGAATTCCTGCCAGACGGCAGAGTACGTATGCCGCCACAGTTAAAAACCGTGCGCTCTTTGCAACCTCTGCGTCTTAGCCTGGCGGGGATCCCCAAATTTCGAAATGTGACGACTTGGAAAATGCATGTTCTCGCCGTTTTCGCGCCTTCTGATGTGGATTTTCGGATTCAGCGTTGCGGATAACCCCAGATAAGTTGATTTTTTAGAAGTCGAGTTTCTGCCCGGACACTGCCTTTAAAGGCAGTGTCCGGGCAAAAAGTCGATTTTGAGATTTTGTGCTTACCCGGGCCTATTCGCTATGGTGAATCCGAAAATCCACACGGAGAGCGCGAAAACGGCGAAAAAGGGTCCTAACGCAGGAAGGAAATCAAAAGTGGGTGGGGTCCTCCCAACTGCGAATTCACGGTCCCGGTTTTCGGAGCGATCTTTCCGATCCCGCTAGCCCTCCTGACATCTACACAAGCCAAGTGCGAGTGCTTGAGTTGTAATCGCAACCGCGAAGATCGCTCCGCTACGCTGATTCCGAAAATGCACATTGTAGAACGCGAAAATGGCGAAAAACGGCTCTAACACAGGAGGGAAATGAGCAGGTGGGCGGGGTCCTCCCCACTGCGAATCCACGTTCCCCGCTTTCGGAGCGACCTTCTCGCTTCCGGTTTCAAGTCAATCATCCGCACTTGGCCGGTAGAGATGTTAGGACGGCTAGCGGAATCGAGGAAATCGCTTCGGGAACTGGGAGCGTGAAATCGCACTGGGGAAAGCCCCGCCCACCTGCTGATTTCCCTCCTGTATTAGAGCCCTTTTTCGCCGTTTTCGCGCTTTCCAATGTGGATTTTCGGATTCAGCATGGCGAATAGGCCCGTATAAGCACAAAATCTCAAAATCGCGCTTTTGCCCGGACACTGCCTTCAAGTCCACTCCATAGTAATCGTGTAGAGGCTGCTACATGACGAAGGCGCAAAAGCAGTATTAGGTGAGCGGGCGCGAACGCGGCGCGCGCGTATCTTCACCGTTGTAGATTGCGTGATTCTCAGCTACTTCAAAATGAAGATCATACAAAGAGATGTTTTGCACAAATGCAATGGTCACAAAAAAACGGTATAGGATCCTAAAGATAAACTGCTGGTCTTCTCTTTCGGTCTAAAGGGCTTTTCGATACCTGTTCTATAGTTTATCCTGTTTTGTCCCTTTGATCGAGGGCGCGTTGCGTACTAGAAACAAGAAGTCCAAAAAATGAAGGAGAGACGGTTTGCCACATTTTTTGCTTTGTACAAGAAATAGTAGTCAATTAGTAGGTTAGTCTTCGTAAGTAGGCCAAGTTTCAAGGTGGTAGGCGATTTGCTCATCAACTGGGACAAATGAGTAAGGCGTGTTAGAGCTAAATCGGAAATAATAGAGAACCCGAAGTTTCTGGCTCTATGCGCGTATGCGCAATTTTTCAGAAATCTGCGACATTTCCATCTCTCTGTTTGCCATGAGATAGCCGAGACAGATGAGCGTCGCGAAGTTTGAATACTACTATCAAATGGGAGGATTCCGCAATTTCGTTTGCAGTTCTTTGCAGAGTTCAAACCGTGCATTATGAAACTTAATCAGTTAGCCTTTTTAGCTTTCCCAGTCATATTTAAACCAGCTGCCGCTTAGGTACCACGAGTTAAACATGGTTTCGCAAAAGAATTTTCAAGCATGGAACTCTGCAAAAGATCTGTAAAGTTAATAAGGTCAATGACGTGAATAACCTACGACATCCGCCGTGCCCCGAAGTGTATGTGTGCCAAGTTTTGTCCGGGTCGGTGAGAAATGCAATTTTCTATGCTTCACATACAGACATACAGAGATTCTTTATTTATATAAAGCGCACCTTGTCGTAATACTATCTGTCGGTCTTCGACGTTTGCGTCTTATTCTCCTCATCATTACACCGCCTCTTGTTGCGAAGTTCAGGAACCGTTCTGCGACTGTATTCAGAAAAGCGATATAGCCATATACAGGGGCGGAGCAATCTAGCCGCCACGCTGTTTGGTATCAGGTTTACATTATTTTGAACAGCGGCTCCACAGGTCGATGTAAGTGGGTCGAGACAGATAAGATATTTTTCCGAATGATGGATAGGGGGTCACGACTTTTGCTGCCTCAAAACCTCAAACTTTTCAAGGGGCAGGGGTCCCGCGAGTCTTTTTTCATAAGGCTAAATTTTTAAAAGTTAAGAAATCAGTTTAGTCATCTATTAGGTCGTTCCGAAAGTAATGTCGCTTTTTTCAAGCGTATGCCGCATCTCGCGGAACAAAGATGTATAAGAGATTCTGGTAGCATTTGATGCAGCATTTCATTCTCTTTCTAATGGTTATGATGATGTTGCAATACAGTCAGTGAGCTTCCAGAAAAGAGTCAGAATCTGCGACCTATGCTTTTTGAGATGGCCAAGTATCACAATTTTTCTAAAACTTTATAGCAAACCTCAAAAGAAGTCCAAGTAATGGATGGATAGAGCAAACCCTACAGGAAACAGCACAACTTTTTTCTACTTTCCAGAGCTCGTCATAATTTTTGTATAGATTTTTTGATGAAACCACCGAATTTTAGCAGGCTCGTCTCAGACACAAATGCATCAAACGCCAACAAGTCTTTGGATTTTGAAAACTTACAAAGATGGATTATGGTTCGGCAACAATTTTACAAACCAAACGAGCATTCACCGCTTCGGTTTAGCAACTTTCGAAAATTTCGGGTACACCTTGGGGCGCCTTGGAAAAGTTGAATTATGACGATTTTATCTCGAAAAACTTGATGAATCGGAAACAAAAACAACCTCTAGAAAGAGGAAAAAAAGCTGCATCGAATGACACCCGAGTTGCTTCTCGGTTGTTGTTCTGTGAGGTTTGACTTGACTAAATATGGAATTTGATGGCATTGAGAAATTGATTGTAAAAACTCTGAGAAGCAAGCTAAGGAAAAGAAAAAACTACTCTATGTTCTATAGTGTTTGTTCTATCTACCTGCCACTTGTACTTTTTCGGAGATTAGGTACAAAAGTTTAGAAAAATAGCCGAACTTGACCATGGCAAAAAGCATGAGTCGCAGATTTTGGTAATTTTTCGGAGCTCATTAGACATTATGCAGTGAAATTAGAACCATTAGAAAGAGAATGAAATGCTGCATCGAATGCTCCTAAGATCTTTTGGAAATGTTGATTCCACTAATAGTGGCGTTCATTCGAAAAAAGCGACATTACTTTCGGAACGACCTAATATCTATGAATAAAACCGAATCTCTGTAAATTTGTTCGTTTGTAAGTATGTGGCTTATAGACTCTTTTGTGTGTGAACCGATGGGGCTAAAATTCGTTCCTTTATAAATAAAGCACGGCGCAGAAGATAGGCCACTTTTTGCGACGATTTGTTAGGCCCTTCAATCGATTTATTGATTTTACTTACATCGAGGGTATGAAGAAGGGCGGTGAATGCGTCTAGGATCAAGTAGCCCAAATCCCTGGCGGGACCGGGGGCGCCATCTAGTTTGCAATTATTTGCAAGAAGGAAGTCTTTAAAATAATTTTGAAACTCGTGAAGGCCACTCCAGACATCCTCGAGTTGGATGCACCCTATCCCAAGTTTCGCTACATGCATCTCTCGAGTACAGAAACTCAGCTGCTAATAGTCAGGACAAGAACAAACCGAACATCATCGAAGAAGACAGATGGCTTCGGAGAAACTTTCTTTCTTTCTTGAAACTTTCTTTCTTGCTCAAAGAGTAAGGGCTTTGGCAAAATGAATAAGTTCACAGAGACCACATTGCTATCGGATTTATTGGATTTCTCGAACAGTACAATTATGTCCTCACCTTAATTGAATCTGGTAGCCACAAATGTATTACGTTTCTGACTAACCAAATAGAATAATAGGTTTCGTGTTAAACTTTCATACTTTAGTACATTTGCGTTCCCACTTCCATGACGTTTTAGTAGTGTGTCCTACTCTTAATTAAACTGAAATTGCATATAATGCCGATCGTAGCATTTTCGGTGTGTTATTTAATTAGAGGAAATATTTAGTGTTTTATACTTTGTTTTCCATATTTTCGAAATGACGCCGAAAGCAGCTATTATGTAACGGCTACATGAATCGGTATTACTGAATGCGAACGACTTGTTCCTGATTCCCAAAGCCTATAATTTATTCTCATACTCACTTTTACACATTCGCTCTCACTTCTATCTGCTTTGATGGTAGCTTTTAGATCTAACTCAGAAGTTGCAAAGCTCGCTGTATGAGGCCTCGAAATACTATTATAAGTTAGCGAAACCTAGCGAGACACGACTTTCATTTATTTATCCATTTTCCTAGCGAATAACTAAACTTCAGGTTAAGTATGTGGCAACGGTAAATTTTAACATGATTTTTTCCTACGCGATAAACTATTTGGAGGTTTGAGCACACCAGGTCTCCAAAATTTTTTTTTGGTGAAGATGATAGTTCTTCCACAATTCAAACTCTCATTTGTGATTGGTCGAAAACCTTCCTTTGTTGTCTATAAAAGAGCTTTATTGTCTTATTGCTGTCAAGAG